CGTCCAGGACTGGGTGATGCCCTTTTCGTCGCAGAATCCGCCGAGAATGCCGGAGCGAAACTCGCCCCCACGGTCGGAGTGAAGACAACTGACTTGACGACCACGAGTGCCCTCAGTGGCTAGAAGCCACCTGATCAGCGTAGCAGTCACCTCGGACTTCTTCGCAAGAGGGAACACGGTGGTGTACCTGGAGTAGTCGTCGACGACCACCAGAAAGTAACGCTCTCTCCCAGACCCCTGCGTCGGGGCAGGGCCCCAGACGTCCAAGTGGAGAGTCTCGAAGGGAGCGGTGGCCGGACGAAGGGAGGAGGAGTGGGGAGTGGCGCGTAAGCGACCGGCGACGCACGGAGAGCAAGGAGGGGCAAGCGAGAGAGGGAGCGACGGGAAGGTGCGTGGGAGACCTGTGACAAGTCCCTGACTGAGCATGCCATGAAGGCGAGGGATCGACGGGTGGCCAAGGCGGTGGTGCCACAGGACGGTGCGGTGGGCAAGAGAGCGACAGGAGCAAGACGCAGCGACTGGACTGGACACAGCGACCGGACTGGACACGACTACCTGGCTAGACACAACAACTGGACTGGGGACCTGGGCCGGAGGGGACGCAGCGACCTGAGGGGAGGACGCGACCGGGGAGCGCTCGGTGTGGAGAACGTAGAGACCGGAGCGGGGCTCCCTGGTGAAAGTGGCCAGAACAGCATCTGTGGTAGCGTCAGTACAGACTGCAGTCCGCCCACCCCCCACGAAGGTAACCGTGATCCCCCTGTCCTGGAGGTATCCAACACCCACCAAGTTCCGAGTGAACGAGGGGATGTGGAGGCCGCGCAGGACACCAGAGGGGACCACAGGGCACGGGAGGGTGGTGGAGCTACGCGCAACGGCTGGTCCAGAGGTAGGATCAGCCAGAGCCACCGACACAGGGGTGAGGAGTGGCGTAAGGGTCGCGTGGTCGCGGAAGAAGCACTGAGACGCGCCCGAGTCCAGCGTGAACGACAGAGAGGCCTCAGCCGGAGGGTCACCTGACCCAGTCGCTACACAAGCACCTAGAGCAGCAACACAAGCACCTAAGCTAGACAGGCACAAGGCTACACTAGCAGGAGGCAAGCAGGCTAACCTACGAACACGCGAGCACACAGACCCATCAGCACTAAAGTCAGCATCAACATACAAAGCATGCTGACGCGCATCGTCCATGGACAGATCAAAGACATCAATCTTACGGGCTAACAGGCGAGACCAGCGAGGCGTGACCGCCAGAGGGCCCCAACGAGCCCGGTAGAGGTCGTCGAGGCGGCGGAAGCACCGCGCGGCAGAGTGGTCGTCGCGACCACAGAGACAGGGGCTGCCCGGCCCGGTGAGGCACCAGTGGGTGCAGGGGCCAGCGTCACGGCGAGGGGGGCGAGGGGCCCAGCTGGAAGAGCTGCTGCTGCGGCCGGTGCTCCCAGGGCCTCCCGGACCCCACTGCGGCGGAGGACCCCAGTGCTGCTGCGCACCCCACTGCAGCGGGGGCCCCCACTGCTGGAACTGCTGCGGTGCCTGCTGCTGCTGCTGTCCCTGCTGCTGCTGCTGTCCCTGCTGTGGCTGGTGCTGCTGTGGCTGCTGCTGCTGGAGGACAACGCCCCCACCGGTCGGGCCACCACCTGGGGGTGGGCCTGTCTGTCCTGTACCTCCTCCAAGGCCCCCTCCCCCTGGCGCACCGCCGCCGCCGCCGCCGCCGCCGCCTCCGCCACCACCGCCGCTCCCACCTCCACCGCCACCTCCACCGCCACCTCCACCGCCCCCACCTCCCCCCTTCCCGCCCTTCTTGCCACTCTTGCCCCGTTTCTGCCAGTCTGCGGCAGAAACGGCAGCGGTGTCCTCAGAGACCGACACAGCAGCAGAAGCGCGGGTAGAGGTGAAAGTGGGAAGCTGAGGGGCGGCACACCCCGCAAAGAGACGGGGGGCCACCGCATCAGTGGCGGAGGCAACGGTGAGGAGGCTGCTCTCGATGGTCCCGAGAGCAGTCTGAAGGAGGTCTATAGTGAGCTCAGTGGGGTGCTTCTGAAGAAGCGCGTCGCGGGCAGTGGCAAGGCGATCAGGGAGGCGGGTGACTAACCAGTGCACAGTGAGCCACATGGGGGGGGGGAGCAACAAGGAGCTGTGCGTCGGTACAGGCTGAACGAAAACCGGCGTCAAGCGAGCGGAGGTGAGTCACTAGGTCGGAAACAGTCGCAAACGAGCCTAGGTCCGGAAACACGAACGGCATGAGGAGGCGACTGAGGGAGGCGGAGGAGGGGGTGGAATAGCGAGCCACAATAGCATCCCAAACCCCCTTGGCTGTCTCCACCTGGTCAAAGTGAGCGGCCTCAGTCGGGGGGAGAAGCTCCGATAGCGTGAGGGCGGCGGCCGCGTCACGAGAGAGCCACACGTCCCGAGCCAGGACCCGACGGTCGTAGTCTGCCTGGGCCGTAGGAGTGGGCTCCGGGGCGGTCGGCAGGGCGGCGGGGGACGGGGGTGCCGCGAGAGCACCCGACGCGTGGGCCCACAGAGTGGCGCCGTCCTGACGCTGGCTGGTGAGGAAACGTGTGGTCTGGCGCTGCCAGGTACCGAACTCGATCGGGCGTCCCTCAGCATCGAAACGGAGGCGACGGACCTCCATAGCGGAGCCCATGCTAGAGGCGACTGGAGCACGGCGGAGGCGAAGCTAAGAACGAGGAGGAAAACTACGGAGGGCTAGGGACGCCAGCGGGGAAAACGACGAGAGACAGTCGGCGAGAAAATAGTCGTGGGGCGGGGCTCTAACCGAACCTAGGTGGCGCTACCAGAGGGAAGAGCGGCTGCCAGCCGCTGAGCCGGGAGCCAAGTGCCGTAGGAATGGCGTGGGACCGGTGCACAGGTGAAGGGGAGAGAGATGCAGTAAGCGCACAGAGTGATGCGGTAAGGGCACGCATGTGTGCGGGGAGTGCACGCAGGTGTGCGGGAAGCGCACACAGAGTGATGCGGTAATTGCACGCAGGTGTGCGGTAAGCGCACGCAGGTGTGCGGTAAGCGCACGCTGGTGTGCGGGAAGCGTTGACGGAGGAGGGCGCGCGACAGGCGGAGGGGAGGGCACGCGACGATGAGGGAGGGCGCGCGGCGGTCTAAGGAGGGCGCACGACGGTTTTGGAGGGCGCGCAACGGTGGGGGAGGGCGCGCGGAGGTCTAAGGAGGGCGCGCGGAGGTCTAAGGAGGGCGCGCGACAGGCTGGACAGCGCGGGAGGGCGCGGGCTAGGCGCGAGGAGGGCGCGGAGGGCGCGGAGGGCGCGGAGGGCGCGGAGGGCGCGAGAGCACGGAGGGCGTGTATGGCGTGGAGGCTAGTTAAAAAAAAAAATACGAACGAGGATCTAACCTACTCGTGATACCATCTCAGAATAGGAATGCAACGGAATGGATGAAATTAGGAAGTGTGGAAGTACAAATATGCAACCCTAACAACTGTACTCCCTATTGTGCTACTCAATGTAGCCTACAAGCATAGAATTACATTTGACACGTACCACACCCCCCCCCCCCCCCCCCCCCCGGACCTCCCCCCACTTTCCCGTAACTCGGGATTCCCGTTGGCCAACTGTCAAAACCTGAATTTGCGTACATGTGTTGGCACGAAGTGGGCCACTATTGGCCAGAAATACAGTTTCGCTCTACACAACGCCAAGGACTCAACTCGGAGTAAACTCATTGTAACAATAACTGAGCAGGGTTTTTACAAGTCTTACACTGATGTCTCAGGGTAAAATTTTCAAACCTAGCCTGAACCTTGATGCAAAAGAAATTTCCTACCGGGTCACACAGATAATTGTTGGAAATAAGAAGTCGCTAGAGCGCAGCGGAAGCTCTAGAAATTAACGACGTCCCTACGGCGGGGCTATTGGTGGTGCCAAAGCAGCGGCCGAGGGTAGGCCGGACACAAGCTTGAGAATTGTGTAATATGAGCAAGGCATTACATTCTGTTATATAGCAAACGCATAGGGCAAACAGTTACCAATGCGCAACTGTATAACAGTTGCGCTGCGTCGCTTGGGTTGCCTTGTTACAGTCGCGCTGGCGAGACTTTTCAGCTTTGGCAAGGGCGCGGTATCCTGCCGCGCCCCACAGGTCAGTTTCGCGAACTGTAGACGATGACTCCTGCTGTCGATTCGACTCTTGAGCTGCCACGCGGGTCGCAACCGCTGTGTTCGGTTGCGGCCCGTTGACTCGCCACCAGGTTCAAATCCCTCGCTATGGCGAGCCCCTGTAAGCACACTTCGAACAGTGCACTTATAATAAAAGCATACAAACATATTCTCAACAATAATCAGGTTTTTGCTTAGGTGCAGCACTGATCATAAGGGTTGCTCAAAACCAAAAATTAGCCCTGTAGTACACCTGCTGCTGGATATGATCGGCTGGTCCATTCAGCAAGGGTAGCTAGCTGACATTAAAAGTAATCTGCAAGGCTCCAGTTGCAGCAACCCACAATGCTAAAGCAAACCTTTCTCTCACTTCTGTAACAGCAGCTCCCACACCCAAGCTAAAGCAGGAGAAATAAAGTTCGGTGTATTCTTGAAATTGTAGTGCACCATTTAACTACCGCAACCCCTCATGAATGTGACACAAGATCAGGAAATTGCACTAGGGGATAGCGAGGGTCAAGGGAGGAGGAGGGGTAAGGGGACATGGAAGTGTAGATTGAGACACACATGTCTCGCAGCCCAATGGGAAAAAACTCTACAAAGAACGAGCCGCTCTGCTAGAGCCTTCTTGATGCACTTGCATCCTGTCCTGAGCTAAACCAACCCACCCTTGTTCTGTTTCAACCGAACACTGAAGATGCTGTTGCGGTGCGGTGGTGCCACTGCACTGCCCAGTACCACCTGCTGCTCACGAGGGAGACCAGTCATTCCTGCTAACCAATCCCTATAGCATGCTGATTTGTCAAGATTCTGTAACCAGGGCTAGCGGTAACCTCTGGTACCCGTGCGTCATTTAGAGTCTTGAGGCTGGGGTCAGCTGGTGTTGGCGCGAATCCACGGGTGATCTGGAAGGATTGGTGGGATGGGTGACAGTGGGGAGTGGTAGCAATGCCTTGTTGATTCGACGCAACAGTCACCTCGGGTCTTGACTGAGAGGCTGGGGTCAGCTGGTGTTGGCGCGAATCCACGGGTGATCTGGAAGGATTGGTGGGATGGGTGACAGTGGGGAGTGGTAGCAATGCCTTGTTGATTCGACGCAACAGTCACCTCGAGTCTTGACCGAGAGGCTGGGGTCAGCTGGTGTTGGCGCGAATCCAGGGGTGATCTGGAGGGATTGGAGGGGTGTGAGTGGGGGATGGTGACCATAACGGATGGTGACATTAGGGATGGTGTTAATGAGGGGTGGTGACAATGAGGGATGGCGACAACAAGGGATAGCCAGGAATTTGGTGCATGAGGGTGATCAAACAACAATGCACACAGATGCAGATCCATGGACATGGATGCATGTCAATATGCACTTGGATAGAGATACATGCATGTGGATTGAAATGAGCACTGGGAATGTTTGGTCACTCAATGAGATGAAAGAGCATTCATTAAATGGGCATTCACGCAAATGAACTTGTTAGGAACAAGCATGGATTCCTTTTCTATATACATATATTATAAAGCAATGAAATGAATACCCAAACATTGAAATGAACAGCCAGTCGTTCAAACAAACGTTCCCTCAACTCACAACGTAAAACCCCAACGTACCAAGAATCTCTTCAGCAGTAATCCTCTTCTTGGGGTTCCGCGTGAGCATCCTGACCACAAGATCCTTGGCCTCGTCTGAGATCGATGGCCACGGAGGCCTCACGAGGTTCAGAGTGGCCTGCTTGATGGCCTCAAAGATGGCATCGTTGGTTGTGCCCCAGAAGGGCGGCAGGCCGCACAGCAGGATGTACAGCACCACCCCCGCACTCCAGATGTCCGCCTCTGGGCCGTATTTCTCGGCGAGAACCTCTGGAGCGAGATAATAGGGGCTGCCTGCCATGTCTGTGCAGGGCTTGCCTGTTGATGGGAGGAGGGGGGAGGGGAGGCGGGAGGGGTTTGGGGGTGGAGGCCTCATGAGGTTCAGAGTGGCCTGCTTGATGGCCTCAAAGATGGCATCGTTGGTGGAGGGAGGGAAAGGGAGAGCAACGAGGGATTTAGAAGATGGCGTCATTGGTGGTGCTGCAGAAGGGCGGCAGGCCGCGCGGTAGGATGTACAGCACCACCCCCGCACTCCAAATATCAGCTTCAGGACCATATTTTTCAGCGAGAACTTCTGGTGCGAGGTAGTACGGGCTGCCTGCCATGTCGGTGCACGGCTTGCCTGGGGGGAAGGAGGAGGGAGTGGAGGGAGGGAGAGCAAGGGAGGGCAACGAGGGATTTAGAAGATGGTGTCGTTGGTGGTGCCCCAGAAGGGTGGCAGGCTGCACAGCAGGATGTATGTACGGCACCACTCCCGCACTCCAGATGTCTGCCTCCGGACCGTACATTTCAGCCAGGACCTCTGGAGCCAAGTAATACGGGCTGCCTGCCATGTCGGTGCACGGCTTGTCTGGGGGAATGGGGGAGGAGGGGTGGAACGTGGCAACACCCCAGTCAATCACTTTCAGAACTACATAGTTGTTATTCGAGGCCAAGAGAATGTTTTCCGGCTTGAGATCCCGGTGCATGATGCCTGCGCCATGACTTTTGAGTCGACTCAAAAAGTCACTCCACCTTGAGATCCCGGTGCATGATGCTGGCGCCGTGGCAGTGCCGCAGTGCAGCAGCAGCAGCAGCACCACCGTGCGGATCACCCCAGGCAGCCAGCCCCAACCCAAAACACAGCATCAGCAGCACCAGTTGACTTTTGAGTCGACTCAAAAGTCAACTCGCAGCGCAGGAGCAGCACAACACCACCGTGCGGATCACCCCAGGCCGCCAGCCCCAACCCAAAACACAGCATCAGCAGCACCAGTTGACTTTTGAGTCGACTCAAAAGTCAACTCGCAGCGCAGGAGCAGCACAACACCACCGTGCGGATCACCCCCGGCCGCCAGCCACAGCACAGCATCAGCAGCACCAAGTGAGCTCACCTTCTGAGGCGCCTCGCCTCAGAAGTGCTCACCTTTCTGAAAGAACGTGGCAAGGCAACCCCCCCAGTCGATCACTTTGAGATCCGTGTCGCGCTCTGGTGAGATGCCTCAAAAGCCAACCACAACAGCTCACCTTTCTGGAAGAAGGTAGCCACACCCCAGTCAATGACTTTCAGATCGGAAGAAGGTAGCCACACCCCAGTCAATGACTTTCAGATCGGTATCGCTCTGATTCGACACCAAGAGAATGTTCCCGGGCTTTAAGTCGCGGTGCATGATGCCGGCGCTGTGGCAGTGCCGCAGCACCAGCACCACCGTGCGGACCACCACAGCAATCAGGGTTGACCAGATCAGATCAGTGCTACTGTGCCCAGCTACCATCCAGGAGACCTCACCTTTCTGAAAGAAGGTAGCAACACCCCAGTCAATGACTTTGAGGTCCGTATCACTGTTGTTTGAAACCAGCAGAATATTTTCTGGCTTGAGATCGCGGTGCATGATGCCGGCCCCGTGGCAGTGCCGCAGCACCAGCACCACCGTGCGAATCACCCTCGCCGCGTCGGCTTCCGGGAACTTTCCCCGCAGCTTGATGCGGTCAAAGAGCTCGCCCCCCTCGCACAGCTCCATGATCAGATGCACGTCCTGGGGGAGTGGTGAGGGGAGGATGGAATGCAGCGGAGTGCGGAGGTAGAGAGTGGTGAGGGGTGAGGTTGCCAATGCTGGGGTGGCCCCTTGAGCATCCCCCCTCCCCGCTGACCGCCCCCCACCTCCCCCTGCCCTGAACGTCTCGCCTGCCCCCCCTGCCCTTGCCTGCCCGCCCCCTCACCTTTGCATCTTCATAGGTGTTGCATAGGTTGAGAATGCTGGGATGCCCCTTGCGGATACCCTGCCTGCTACCCCCTCCCCCTCTCCCCCCCGCCCTCCTCTGACCGCCACCCTCTCTCTACCCCTTACCATAAATGAGTTTTGAGACGCCTCAAAACGCTCTCCTCACCTGTGCGTCCTCAAACGCATTGCGCAGGTTGACAATGCTGGGATGCCCCTTGAGCATCTCCACCGCATCAACCCAGCAACCCATCTCAGCATAGATTACAAGTACGCACCCCCCCCCCCCCCTCCACCCCCCCCCTTCCTCACCTGTGCGTCCTCAAACGCATTGCGAAGATTCACGATGCTGGGATGCCCCTTGAGCATCACCACCACAGCAGCCATAACCCCCGAGCGTCCCTCCACCCATGCCCCATTGCTCCGCCCCCCACTCTACCTGAGCATCCTCAAACGCGTTGCGCAGGTTGACAATGCTGGGATGCCCCTTGAGCATCTCCACCACCGCCACCTCCCGCCATTCCCCCCCTGCCCTGAACGTCTCGCCTGCCCACCCCTTTCACCCTCACCTGTGCGTCCTCAAACGCGTTGCGCAGGTTGACGATGCTGGGATGCCCCTTGAGCATCTCCATCACCGCCACCTCCCTTCGCACGTCCTCTATGTCCTGCTGGCACTGCAACACAGAGAAACGAAGGGAAGTCGAAGGAGAGGAACGGGAAGGAGAAGAGGATGTGGGAGGGCAGTGAGAGCAAGTCCAGTGCCCATCACCGCCACCTCCCGCCGCACATCCTCTATGTCCTGCTGGCACTGTTGGGATGAATGGGGATGGGGATGGGGATGGGGATGGGGATGGAAATAAGAGGAATGGGTACGGGGGAAAGAAAGAACCCGGTGTTAAAGGTGGCCTGCCAGCATCTCCATCACTACTATCCCCCTCCTCGTGTCCTCTTTCTCCCGCAAGCTTTCTCGAGTCCACACGCTCAGCACACGCTCAGCACACCACTCACCCACCGACACTCCCCTCCCTCACTCCCTCGCCCCCGCTCCTATCCGTTCCCCCCTCTACTCTCACACACGGGCAGTAGCCCCTCAACTGCAACGAGCACCTCACCACCATGTATACCCCATCTCAACTGCATACCCTCTGACAATCTTCTTGCTTAAAACCCGCGGGCCAAGAACTTTAACTTTAGGAAGCTTGGTTGGAGCGAGCAACACAATTGGCCAAACTCAACCAAGGTTAGGAAGGTTGAGGCAATTTGGGCCTTCTTGGCCCTCCGGTTTTAAGCCTAAACCTAAGCATTGCTGCTCACTGGAAAATGTCAGAGGATCTGCTAACTGCAACGAGCAGCTCACCACCATGCATACCCTTTTGAGTCGACTCAAAAGTCAACCCCCTCTATTCACACACACGGGCATTAGCCCCTCAACTGCAATGAGCACCTCACCACCATGCATACCCTTTTGAGTCGACTCAAAAGTCAACACCCTCTATTCACACACACGGGCATTAGCCCCTCAACTGCAACGACCACCTCCCCACCATGCATGCATACCCCATCCCTCTCCTCCGCCTCTTGCCCTCCCTCTCTTACCATCCCCCTCTCCCTGTCCTCCTTCCCCTCTCCGCCTCTCCCCTCCCCTTATCCCCCTTTCCCTCTCCCCTTCTCCCTGTCCCCCTTCCCCTCTCCCCCTCCCCCTCCCCCTCCCCCCACCCCCTCCTCCACCTCCCCCTGACTCTCTCCGCCTCTCCCCCTCCCCATTTCCCTCTTCCCCTCTCCCTTTATCCCCCTCCCCATTTCCCTCTTCCCCTCTCCCTTTATCCCCCTCCCCATTTCCCCCTCCCCCAACACTCCACACACCTGCAGCATTCCCTTGCTAATCGACTTGCACGCAAATCTCTTCCCTGAAACGCGGCACACACACACACCCCCTGCTCATCCCCATGCAGACACACAGCAATGCACTGACTCAAACGACATCCCCCTCCCTCCCTCCCCCCCACACTCCTCATGCCTGCAGCATTCCCTTCACTAATAGACTTGCACGCGAATCTTTCCCCTCAAACGCGGTACCCCATCCCACCCCCCCCTCTCCCACCCCCCTCCTCAATAACACAAAAGCACACACGCACCCAACTAACCCACTTCTCTCTTCTCCTCTATTCTCCCCTCCCCACCAACCCCCCCCAACACTCCACACACCTGCAGCATGCTTTTGCTGATGGACTTGCACGTGAATCGCTCAACTGACATGCGGCTCACACACCCCCTGCTCCTCACGCCCCTGCACACACACACACCCACACCCCCTGCTCACGCCCCTGCACACACACACACCCACACCCCCTGCTCACGCCCCTGCACACACACACACCCCCTGCTCACGCCCCTGCACTCCCTGCTCACACACAGCCGCGCATGGAACTTCAAACTGCATCCCCCTTCCCAACACCCCACATACCTGCAGCATGCTTTTGCTGATGGACTTGCACGCGAATCGCTCCCCAGAAACGCGGCACATGCACCCCCGGATCACCCCAAACCTCCCTCGACCCAGCTCGTTTTTATCCACCTTATAAGCCTCCTTAACATCCGCTAAAGGCCGCTTCAATATATTCACACTCCCCCCCTGATCCGCGCTCCCTCCCCCTCCCCCTCCGCCTCCCCCGACTCCCCCCCCTCCCCCACCCCCTCCTCCCGCTGTTGCCGCTTCTTTTCTTGCTGCCCGAATCACCTCTCTGTTTTTTCTGGTCAGCCTGGCTTGTAACCCTTCCGGTGTGACTGGCCTAGCCCCTGGTGATGGTTGCGGGACCACTGCTACAGTGTTCCCCTGCGCTACACCCGCCGCTTTGTCCACATCTGGCGTTTTTGGGCGGCTGGAAAACACCGAGAAGATTCCTCTCCGGGCAGGTTTCTTTTCCTCCACTGCAATCCGGTCCACGGGCAGCTTCAAAGCCGCCACGTCAGCAACTAATCTCTCCTTCTCCATCGTCCTCCTCTCCTTATCCGTCCTCTTCCTATCATCCTTCTCCTTAACCTCCCTCTCCATTCTCTTCAACTCCTCCTGTAGCTTCCTCCTCTCCTCCCTTTCTCTCTCAAGCTCCATAGCTAATCGCCTATGCTCCTCGTTCAAATGATTCTCCCCTTCGTATCTCCCTCCTCCGCCCCCCCTCTCGTCTCCCCCGTACTCCTCCCTCCGCCGCCCATACCCATGCGAGGTATACGGACGGTCCTGGCTCCCATGTCCCCCGCCGCCCCCGCTCCAGCCCCGTTCATCCTCATAGTCTTTAGATACCGAGTTAGACCGCAGACTACCACTGGGGGATCTCAGAGGTGCCCTGCGCGCGCCGCCCCCGCCCCCTCCGCCTCCGCCCAGGTCCTCAGGCATAACTTCGGAGGCGGAGCGGGGGACTGTGCGCATCCTTCCGCCATCCCCCCCCCGGTCGTGCTCCTTCAGGGACCCCCCCGGCCCCGCCAGTGCGGCTTCCGCGGTGGACATGCTCCGCGGGACGCCCGGGCGCCCATACGCGGAGTTCACGTCCGCCGTCCGCGGGCGCCTCCCCTCCGCCGTCCCCGGCCGCGCGAGCAGCTCCGCTCCGGACGGCGTGCGCGGGCGCAATTCCGCTCCGCCTTCCGCCGAGCTGCGCCGCCCGAAGCTCCGCGCGCGCCCGCTCAGCGACGGATCAAGGCTCCCCGGCCCTCCGCGGGAGGGCGGGCGGCCGGCGGAATCCACCGGCCTGAGGTGGGACCTCCCCGGAGTGACCGCCTCGTCCGCGTTCCGCCCCCCGCCGCGGGACGCCGACCGCGGGGGGGGCGTGCGCGGGGAGCCTTCATACCCCCCTCCCCCGTCTCGCTCGCGCGGATTCACGCGCCTTCCGCTGCCGCTCGATCGCTCGTCGTAATCCCCGTCCGCGCCGTACTCGTCGCGCCGCGAGCCGGACGCGCGGCGGCGGGAGGACGAAGAAGACGAATCCTTTCCCGGGGAATCTATACCATCCCCCAGCTCACCACCTTCTAACTCGCATAGTGAATCTTCCACCCAGCGACTCACGGCGCGCTCCTTAGAAGGAGACATTAGAGGTAAGTCGCCCTCCGCGTCGCCCTCCGCTAAGTACCTAACTCTGTCTCGGTCCCTAAAGCTGCTTCCGCGGTCTCGCATTTCCCGTTCTCGGTCCCTATAACCCCCTCGTTCGCGGTCCCTGTCCCTATCCCTATCGCGGTCGCGGTCCGCTTCGCGCACCGCGGCTCCGGAGTTTGAAAGATTGATCTTCGCGGACTGCGACTTGTGGAACGCGCGACGCGGCGGCGAGCCCTGCCCGCGATACCCGGAGGAGTAAGAACCCGAGTGCGGCAAACCCGGCGCCTCATCCCCGTACCCTCCCCCTCCGCCTTTCGTACTCGCGCTTCCGACTAACCTCCGCGGCGGCCAATCTCCGCTCGTCCCGCTGACTCCGTCTACGTCATCGTCAGCTGACGGACCTGGACGGGATGGCATCCGCCGGCCGCCACTAGTCGCCGGCCGTTGCGGCGGAGCACCCGACGACGACGACGACGACGCCTGCCAATCCGGAGCGCGACTGCTGCTGCCGCTTCTCGGACTCATCGCCGCGCCGCCGTCCTCCGGCCGCCTCGGCCGGCGGACGCCGCCAGAAGTCGACGGCCGGCACGGCGGCGTCTCCTCGCTGCTGCTGCCGCGAGAGCGATCCCGAGGTAAAGAACCGTTTCCTGTTCTGCTGCCGCCTCCGCTGTCGTCATCCCAGCCGTCGTCTCGTCCTCTTCCCCGCCGCTCTTCCCGCACCATCTGGGGATGCTGACTGGACGCCACGTGGCTATTGAAATCGTTGCTCGTGCGACTCGTCGACGATCTTAGAGGCGGCTCGAAAGTAGAATGCTGGCTAGACGACGCGTGGCTGTCAGAGTCGTTACTCGCGCGACTCGTCGACGATCCCTCTCCACCTCCCCCGAAGATTGTCCTGGGTGATTGGCCGCTCCCGGAGTGTGCTTTCCGGGAATCCCGGAGGCTGCTGCCACGTGTCGCCGTCTCGTTGGCAGATGAGTTCCCTATTCCTAGCACATTGTTGTCGCTCAGGCGTTCCGAGCCTCCTCCCATGCTAACGCCTTCATGATCGGCTGCGGCCGCGATTTGCAGAGAGGCAATCAGACGGTGTTACAAGTGGCAGCTATTGACGGGTGAGTGGTTCTTGAAAATGCTGACGACTGGGAAATAAATAATTAACTAGACTCGAGCGTTAGAATAATTTGAAACTCGAGTGGTTCTATCACTGAGCAAATTGTGTCTGATTGAGCAGAGACCACCTAACGCTTAGTCTGTGCGTTGTTGCCGCCATTTCCGTCCTGCACAGTCTAAGCTGCAAGTAACGCTTCTCGATTGTCCGCTCCCTTAGTTAGTACACGTCTAGTTAAGTACAGTCTAGTAAGACCCTACTAGACGTACAGGGTGACGAGATGCAGGAAACCCTACTATAGTGTTCAGTGAGACATGGCAGCCTGGCAGGTAGTGCCCCCTACAGGGAGATCTTGGAAAGATAATAGTAAATGGTAAGGTGTAACATCTCGCAACAAGTTCTGAGCACGTAAACCTACTTAAAGCTCGCGTCTCAGATTTCCAACCTTTTAACACTTGGTTGGGTTTTCCCGTCTGTGATTGGGTAACGAATGACGAATTATTTGACGAGTGGGTGAAAAAAACACAGCGAACTCCCAAACAGTCGAGGCCAAAACAAACCAGGGTGGGCTGGTTTGGGTGGAAAACGAGCCAAGGGGGACAGGTTTGGTCCCGGGTTCTGTCAACGTTGAGTTCAGAGTCTCATATTTTCGAGAGTTGTTAACACTTGGTGTGCACGGGGAAGTGTGCGACAGCCAACTTTCCCAAACCACCCCTTGCTTTGGTGTGCTTTGCGACAAACTCTGCTGTTACCGGATTCCAACCGTTTAACACTTGGTTGGATGGCAGAAATATGAGACGCGAGCTTTAACTTCTCCTACATCTTTACGGACCGTCCGAAAACGTACTGAACAATTGGAAGGTGAAGACTGGAGATGGCTCTTTTACATGGACGCCTCGAGTGATTCGCACTGATGGGACTGACGGAAGTCCCTGCACAGGTAGAAACAAGGTGGTTTGGTATGGAGAAACAGTTGAGGGAGGCACCGTACCTGGGGCGAGAGGTTCAGAGTGAGGTGCGGCTTCGTTGATGAGGTAGGGATAACGCTGGCTCGGTCAGTGCTGTGTGGATCAGATTCGCTGTTGGGAACAGTCTAAGATGATTTTACGGAACTTAGCGAAGTTGGTTTGGGATGATCTGCTCGAAACAATCAGCTAAGTACCACGCCGACCAGGAAAAAAAAATATGTAGAGCAATTACAGGTGCACATTTTAGTGTTTTCCGAATACATGTTCGGTTTTCAGGACCCGTTCAACCCAGCCCTGGGAAACGAGACCGCATAATATTTTCGTCTTGGAGCGTGGAAAATGAAATAAAACAGGATTATGCGTTGAACACGTTGTCAAATGAGAGACTATGCGAGCTTTGTCGAAAGCAGAAAACCGGTTTCGCTGACGGTTCGAACCGTCAAAAAGCAAAATGGAGCCACGCCCTAAGGGTTACGCTTGGCTTGCGCAATGTCTAGGCTGGCCTTGTCTGGCCGCGTCGCAGGTCATTGATCAGGCCCAGGATCGGTCAGAAAGGGTAGTTCGACAATCTGATCCGTTTCAATAATGTTTTGGTCGCTTTTGTACAAAACTTCAATGTATGGACTCCGCGAACCACCTGGATTACCAATGACAATCAATGCATACATTGATTATTGCCATTACCTGTCATCCATTCCCATTCCCATACAATTACTGTGTCAGCAGCATCTCATAGACCACACATGCTCTCCTCGCTACCACAAAGCCAGCTACAGTGCAAGTGCAGTCTGCATATTCAATGACACCCTTGGCATATTCATACGGTATGTTACGCTTGAAGCATCCTCTCCTCACCGCGACACCAACATGCACCCTCCTCAAACACAGTCTTGCCTGAGACGAGAGTTCCTATTCCAATTCGGACCACATTATGATCACTACTCAACTGGTGGTGGTGATGGTGGAGGGGGGGAAGGGGGAGGAGGAGGGGAGGGAGGCGGGGAGGGGGGAGGGAAAGGGGGAGGAGGAGGGGGGGAGTCTGGAGGAGGAGCAGGAGGCACAGCACCAGGAACCAGCAGCGCCATATCCGGAATAAAGAAATCCGACGAGATATGAACGAGCGTCTGCACAATAATCGTGATATTCTGCCCCGAGCTTGTAATGTTCCGCGGCTCCTGAATATAGATTATATTCGGCCGAACGATCTTCACAGCAGGGTAACTCATAGGCGGCTCCGAAAACAGGGAAACCTCCTCCTTACACCCCGGCTCCCGGTAAAACCTCTTGAAGTACGGGCAGCGGGTCTTGGTCAGCGTGACAGACATATCCGTCAACAGCGTTGGGAGCGACCCGGTCGACTTGTTGGTCAGCTCCGCGTAGGTCTGAATCCCGAAAACCCCCTGGTAGCTCAGGAGAAGCGTCTCGGCCGCAGCGCCGTTGTCTGTGATAAGCTGCTTCACGGGTGCGGGGATGCGGGCGTGCGCGTCGTCGGTGGGAGCAAAGAAGGTGACGTTGGGGGATGTGGCGGTGGTGAGGAGCGCGATGAAGCCGGAGCGTACGATCATGTCGGCCGTCTTGGTGCACCCGAAGAGGCGCAGGCGGCTCATTATGGTGTCGTCCGCCGCAGGAGGAGGGGGCGGCGAGGGAGGTGAGGGAGGTGGGGGAGGGGGTTCGCTTGGAGAGGTTACGACTGGAAAGGAATTAGGGCAGGGAATGAGGGCAGGGGGTGGAGAAGGAGGGAAGGGGGAGAGGGAGGAAGCAAGAAGGAAAGCGATGATGAAAGGATGGGATTTAGTGAGGGAGCAGCGAGGAGTGGAGAGAGGAGTGCATGAAGAGGGGGAGGGCAGCGGTAAGATGAGAGCACGTCAAAAGACTTGGTGCAGGGTAAAAGGTGCAGGAGGGGATGGGAGGGGTGGAGGGACATGGTCAGATGAAAAGGGGATGATGGAGGGAAAGGTGGAAAGACGATGGCCTTGGGGAAGGGAAAACGAGCAGTGAATAGGAACAGGTAAAATATTCAGCAACGATGAAGAGTAACAATCAACAACAACGGACATGTGAGTCACTCATAGGAATGAACAACACGATGGAATGGCTCTTTGAGTCCATTGAACAGACAACGACTGAGACACGACTCACCCATTGGTAAGACCATGGATTGGGCCAAAGCAGCATATGCCGCACTGAAAGGGTTAACTGCTGCTGCTGTTGCTACGCCTGTAGGGGAGGAGGAAGCGGAGGCGGCGGAGGAGGAGGAGGAGGAGGAGGAGGAGGAGGAGGAGGAGGAGGAGGAGGAGGAGGAGGAGGAGGAGGAGGGGGAATCGAAGGGCGCTAGCAGCACTTTGACCGGCGGAATGAGCACTCGGTTGATCACATGGGTCGTGATTCCATCCCCGCTAGCAGCATCCCCGCTACCAGCATCCCCGCTACCAGCATCATCCCCGCTACTATCAGCTTCGTTAGCAGCAGCATCAGCTCCGGTATTAATATCCGACGCGACAACCCGAGCCACTCGGCTCAGCAGGGGCACCATGGGCAGCGGCGAGAAGGCGAGGGCCTTCCCCAAGTGCTCCGCCTTCACACTCGTCCCCTCCAGCAGCGTGTCAAATATCTCATACCCCTCGATCCCCGCCGCCTCTATCCCCGCCTCAAACTGCTTCGACGACACGCGGCCACGTGGCAGGATGTGATAGGCCACGAGGTTTCTAAGAACTAAGTCCGCCTTGGGACCCATCAGGAGGGCTTTAATGGGAAGAGGGAGGGTCCAGAAGGCTAGGTTGGTGGGCGCGAGGAGTGTAGCGGGGCCGGATAGGGAGTCTAGTATCCTTGTAGCGGCGAGGTTCTTAGCGAGTACAGTGAGGCCGCGCTTTGCTAGCTCGTCTATGGTCTGCTGGCGGGCGCTGAGTGATAGCTCAGGAAGCACACGCCTGGCACCTGAAGAAACACCTGAAGAAGCACCTGAGGCAGCACCTGAGGAAGCACCTGATTCGGAACCAGGTTTGCCGTACACCTCCCTCCCCTCCGAACCCGCTGCTGTCTCTAGCGCCGCTTCCCGAACCTCGTCAACCTCGTCCGCTTCTCGTTCCCCCTCCCCTTCCCCTTCACCTTCCCCCTCCCCTTCCCCTTCCCCTTCCTGCGCCAAGTCCACGGCAATGGGGGGAGGCGCGGTGCTATGAGGCTCCGCCATGGGGGGAGGCGCGGCGCTGTACGGCTCCCCGCGCGCGTCGTCAAACGAGATTAGCTGGCGCTTCGGGACGAACCCGCCCGTGGGCGGGGGCGGCGGCGGGGGAAGCGGAGGGCGAGGGGGAGGGGGAACGGGAGCGGAAGCCCTGAGTCTAGCCTCTTCCCAGAAACTCCCCCCTTCCGCCTCCAAGTCCCCCACCATATCTAGCGCTTGGGTCCCCGCTGCTGCGGGGGCGGGGGAGGGGCCGGGGCCGGGCGCGGGGCCGAGCGGCGGGGGGACGGGCGCGGGGGTGGGAGGCTCTGGGACGGAGAGGAGATCGTACGGCGGGATGAGCACGGAGCTGCTGACGTGGACGGTCGCGATGCCGTTGCTGAAGGACGACCCGGGGATGATGGTCGCGGCGGCGTAATCCGGAGGCTCGGGAGAGAAACGGACAAATGTCGAGCCTACTTTCGTATCAACGGGGTGTTCATCCAACAGGGTCGGATACTTGTTATTCCCGGCCGACCGCAGCTGCTTCACTGTAAGCCGCTCCGTTATAACGTGGTATTTCATCAGCCGCGGTAACACCTGTTCCCCCGACGCGGTGAAGAACAGCTGCCGGACCGTCCAGGGGAGGAAGCGATACGCGAGCTGCGTTGGCGCGAGAACGGTAACCGGGTTATCCGCCGTCGCGAGATCCAGCACGCCGGACTGCGCGAGATTCGCGGCGGTGCGGCCCAGCCCGTGGCGTGACAGCCAGTAGAGCACCTGCTGCTGCGGGGTTAACGTTATGGAAGACGGTCGGATAACGGGACTCGGCACGGCCACTGGCGCTGCATTTCCGCGCTTCCCCGCACCTGCCGCGGCTGCAATTCTGCCGCCGAACGTGGAGGCGGATTCGACGACGTTTTTCTTCAATGGAGGCGGACGAATCTTCCCTCCACTTCCGCCGTTGGCGGGCGACTTGGTTTTGGAAACCGGAGGCGCGTTCTTAGCCTTAGTCGCGGTGGTGGTGGTGGTGGCGGCGGAGGGTAATGCGTTGGGAGGCGAAAGGAGATCCAACGGCGGAACGAGCACCACGCTGACAGCCTGGCAGATCGCGAGCCCGTTATAAGCAACATCTTTTACAATCACAACGGTACCCGCGCTACCGCCACCAGCGGGCCTGGCGCTGCTGCTATCCGCAACCCGCTTTCCGCCGTCAGAGGGAGCAAACCAAAGAGACTCCCCTCCCGCGACTGTCGGCGCTGCGGGAAAGCCGGAGCGCCCGAATCCAACGGTCAGAGTCTGGTCTCTAAGCAGCGTCTTCACGCGCCGTCCTCTGAGCTTCAAAAAGTAGTTAAAATTAATCCGCGGCTGAAAAATGTGGTATAGAATGAGGTTCTTAAGTACGGCTTTCGCGTCCGGGCCTCTTAATAGCTTCTGTACGGCTTGCGGGAGATTAAGGAACGCGCGGTCCGAGGGGACGAGGAGGGAGAACCCCCCAGGGCGCGCGACGGTCGAAGGGAGTGCGGAGAGAACGTCCGTTTTCTCCAGAGCGGACGCGAAGGTTCGGAAGCCGAGCGAGCGAAGACGCGCGATGGTTTGGGTCGCGAGCGCGGACTGATCAGGGGAAGCGGAAGCGGAGGCGGAGGGGGAGGCGGAAGTTGCAGAGAGAGTTCTCCGCGGAAACTCTGCTGGCGGAAGAATGGAAGGGAGGGAAAAGAAAAAGCACGGGGAATGCATGGAGTTAGGAATGGGAAACAGATGGGCTAATGGGACAACTAGAGAGAAGGAAAACAGAGAGACAATATTGGCGGAACGAGCAGCCACGATAACAGGGAAGTGGGTCATTTTCTTAGTAACCTAAAACAGAAGACGTTGGAACGAAGAAGACACGAAAACAGAAAAGCGGAAGCAGAAACGCGCTTCGAGATCTTCAAAGCAGTCATGAGTGGGAACAAGACAGGAATACCCGGGAGATGCGGCAGGTGAAGTAACATCAGACATTAAGTTACCTTGACGGGCAACGTCGTCATTGACGGATTCCGTCTGCGCGCCTCCCTCCTCTTGAACCTTTCCCGCCAAAACATCGCCTTCACTTTGTAGCACATCCGCTGCAGTCACACCGCGAGCTCTCAGTTTCTCTCCCAGATGATACGCTTGCTCGTACGACACCTCCTCCTCGCCGGGTCTGGCTGCGAACTTCCTCTCGTACGCCATAATGAGTTCCTCGTCATCCGCGCTAAAGGTGGGGAAATCGAAGTTCTCGGACGGATTCTGGCTAGCGCCTGAAGGAGATCCGTCAGCGGAAACGAAAATGGAGGTATGAGCGAGAAGAAATAGCAGAATAAGCGACGGAGCGCAAATGAAGCGGCGCGGGGACCTCATGGTAAGCCAGTGGGAGAGACTGGGAAGAAAACAGGGTTAAATACGGGAAAAGCGATGAACGCGAGAAACGCGGAAAGACACGAAATCGGCCCCGCTAGTTTAGGTTAAATAACATTAACTAGGTGACGAGAAAGACTTCTCCTACTTAACACCTGGTACCACGGCCCTCTCAGTCATTGTCATACTTAAACCTATGGCAAAGAAAATAAACTACGGCAATGGAGAGCCTCTAGTGTCAAGTTCCTAATTTGCACAGGGCAGTCGCAACAGGATACGGTAGGAGTTCGTGCAGTCGCAAAAAGGGAGAACTCCTATGGCGGCCGTCAGGTTTTTCGGTAAAACTACATTCTTCGCGGTACTGCTTTTTTCCGTGAGATAAAGTGCTCTGTAGCATGGTGGAGGGTCCACATTGACGGAATGTACCATACCCCCACGAACGACAAACTGATCGCGTCAAATTCCCAGCGAATTGAGTCGGAATCTGACTATTTTCGACTGCAACCGTTTGACTCCGTCCAACAGATTTTTCAGCCATTGGCTCTGAAGGAAACGGAACAAAACCTGCCGTCAAGCTGACCGTCAGCCACGACGGACTGCGCTGGAACCTGTCCCCCAAGTTTGTCACGTTGCATGAGATTCGTTTTTCCGCGAACATCCCTCCCTTGGCTGAATGCCTGCCTCCCTCCCCCAGGGTGTGTGTGCGCCTGCCTGCATGCCTCCCCTGGGTCGAATCCGTCGGTGGGGGGAGTTTCCCCCTCTAGCCCCTACACCACACCACCGACCAAACCCCAACTACCCTTCGGAACGAGTTCACCGTGCCCGCGAAACTGGTTCCGCTGAGAGGCATCGCTCCGCTCCGCGAAAGCTCTTCCGCGCAACACGTTCTCGATATAGAAGTGGAGCCACTCGATATAATACGATACACGTACAAAACAAAAACTGAAGGAACCAGCTATACATCTAGGCAGGATTGATTGGCCCATAGCTAAGTACACCGCTCTCATCAAACTCCCTATCAGAATCTTCAAATGCTTGACCTCGAAATGAAAACCTGCTTGGCCTATCCGGATCCCCCACCATGGAAGCGTTTCTCCTATCTCGCCCCAACCCACCACTGCCTCCCTCTTGCAAATTCCAATCAAACGACAGCTCCACGCTTCCACCCTCTCCTATAACACCCCCCTCCCTGATATCATCATGACCTTGCCGTACCTCTCCGCTTATCTCTTCCATTACTGTCACATTATTCGACTCCCCAATATCTTGCACATTTTCATTGTGCGCCTCTGTAACCCTCTCGTCCCCGACTCCTCGGGACAAGCTTATATCATGTTGGTGGTGTATTTGCCGTGCTACCGCCGATGTAACCGGGAGCACTCGCTCAGGCTCTAACACTGACTCCAACTCGGTTACCACACGGTTCATGGACGGCCGGGCAGCAGGGTTCTTAATGTCCGTGCATTTGAAGGCCAGGGTGAGCACGCTGGTGACCTCCTTTTCAGGGTAAATGCCCATGGATTGGTCGACAATCCCTGCTAGCCCCTTCTTATCCAGCAGATCTTGGACCTGAGGAAAGTGGTGGTGAGGCAAAAGGGAGGGAGGGGCAGAAGGGAAAAGTGAGATGGTTGGGGGGGGGAGAGGGGGGCGAGGGGGGAGGAAGGGGAGGGAAGAGAGCTTTCAGGAACGGGACTCTAAGTGGGAGTCGAACAAACATGGGAACTGTAATTAATTTTACTGTTGCATACATTACATAAATATATAAACACTAGAACAAACATGGATGTTCATAAACAGAGGAAGCTTATCCGAGTTTGAATCCGAACATGGTAAAATGCCACACATAGAGTCCCATTATTACGTGCAAGGGAATGTACTCAAGAAAAAGTGCATTTGGAAAGGAGATAAAGAGAAGGAGACAGACTGGAAACTTTATGCCCATTCACTTGAATGTGACATATCCTTCAAAAGAAGAAAGAAAGAAAGAAAGAAAGAAAGAAAGAAAGAAAGAAAGAAAGAAAGAAAGAAAGAAAGAAAGAAAGAAAGGAAAAGCAGCATCATGCTCCCACTCACGTGAAAGCGGTACGGCCTGGAGATGCCTCTAGGCGACTTGCCAGTGATGAGCTCCAGCAGCACGATGCCAAAGCTGTACACGTCTATGCGCTTCGATGGCTGCCCTGATTTGAGGTAGTCGGGGTCGCAGTAGCCCTGCGGGTTGTGTGGGGGGTGGGAGAACAGGGGACGACCGAGGTGAGAACGAGGCGAGGTGAAGGGAAGGAGCTCTAATTGCCCGATGCCAAAGCTGTACACGTCTATGCGCTTCGATGGCTGCCACGCCTTCAAGTAATCCGGGTCGCAGTAGCCCTGTTAGGTGGTGAGGGCGGTGGGAGAACAGGTTGGTGGGAGAACAGGTTGGTGGGAGAACAGGGTGGTGGGAGAACAAGGGAAAGGACAGGCCTAGCGGGAGAGCTCCAGCAGCATGAGGCCAAGGCTGTACTGTAGTGGGGAGCACGGGATGTGAGCCCATGGCTGTACTGTAGTGGGGAGCACGGGATGTGAGCCCATGGCTGTACTGTAGTGGGGAGCATGGGATGTGAGCCCATGGCTGTACTGTAGTGGGGAGCACGGGATGTGAGCCCATGGCTGTACTGTAGTGGGGAGCATGGGATGTGAGCCCATGGCTGTACTGTAGTGGGGAGCACGGGATGTGAGCCCATGGCTGTACTGTAGTGGGGAGCACGGGATGTGAGCCCATGGCTGTACTGTAGTGGGGAGCACGGGATGTGAGCCCATGGCTGTACTGTAGTGGGGAGCACGGGATGTGAGCCCATGGCTGTACTGTAGTGGGGAGCACGGGATGTGAGCCCATGGCTGTACTGTAGTGGGGAGCACGGGATGTGAGCCCATGGCTGTACTGTAGTGGGGAGCACGGGATGTGAGCCCATGGCTGTACTGTAGTGGGGAGCACGGGATGTGAGCCCATGGCTGTACTGTAGTGGGGAGCACGGGATGTGAGCCCATGGCTGTACTGTAGTGGGGAGCACGGGATGTGAGCCCATGGCTGTACACGTCTATGCGCTTCGATGGCTGCCTTCCTAGAGTTAATCCAGGTCACAGTAGCCCTGCGAGTTTATGTGAGGGGGAGTAGGGACATGAGCGGACAAGACATACACCATACACTGCCTCTAGCATACTCAGGTCTTTAGGTAGGATATAGGGGTCGCAGTGACAATGCCTGTTTGTGTGAAATAAAGAAGGATACAGTGCGGTCCAGAGCTCCTGACATTTGAGTCGACTCAAAAGGTGGCATTTGAGTCGACTCAAAAGGTGGCATTTGAGTCGACTCAAAAGGTGGCATTTGAGTCGACTCAAAAGGTGGCATTTGAGTCGACTCAAAAGGTGGCATTTGAGTCGACTCAAAAGTCAGAAGGATACAGTGAGGTCCAGAGCTCCTGACAATGCTCATGGCACAAAGCCGTCTTACTTGATTCAGGGAGGTTCAAAGCTCCTGACACAAACATGTGCATGCATGCTTTTGTGTATCGGCGATACACCACAGTGCCCGATATGGTTGCAGAGTATCGGCGACGTGTGTGCACATGCGTGTATTGCATGCACACCTTACATGCACATTTTATGCTCCTCAGCCTGTGCCACTCACCGCAGTGCCCTGGATGGTCGCAGAATACGACGATGTGTCCACGGCTCTTGACGTGCATGTGCGGTGTGTGATAGATGCACGTGTTATATACACACACGGAAATACCCCCATGCTCACCGCAGTGCCCTGGATGGTCGCAGAATACGACGATGTGTCCACGGCTCTTGACGTGCATGTGCGGTGTGTGATAGATGCACGTGTTATATACACACACGGAAATACACCCATGCTCACCGCAGTGCCCTGGATGGTTGCAGAATACGACGATGTGTCCACGGCTCTTGACGTTCCAAAGTCTGCCAGCTTCGCCACCACATGTCGATCCAAGAGGATGTTGCCGGGCTGTGCGGAGCAGTGCAGAGCGGTGCAGAGTGTTGCAGAGTGGTGCACAGTGATGGTGAAAGAAAGCATAGACATGGAGAGAGATGAAGTGCTTTGCCACCACGTGCCAATCCAAGAGGCTGTTACCGACTGGGCTGGAAGGAAGGAACGAAATATGAGAGTACACGATTACAGCCAAGCATCCAAACTCATAACTGTAAGGAACGAAACTGTAAAAAAACTTTCCCAGAAATCAAAGTAGTACAAGAAACCCCTTAACTCGCAGGAATCCTAATCCAAGGAAGGAACGAAATATGACAGTACATGATTACAGCCAAGCTAATACTGCTCTCTGGACCTCTCTCTCTGATGACATCAGCATAACCCATTGTGACATCAGCTCCTCATGAAGTCATCATCCAATCCAACCCAAACCTATCAAACCCAATCCAATCCAATCCAATCCAATCCAATCCAATCCAATCCAATCCAATCCAATCCAATCCAATCCAATCCAATCCAATCCAATCCAATCCAATCCAATCCAATCCAATCCAATCTCCCACCTTCACATCCCGGTGGATGAAGGGCATGCTGACGTCATCATGCAGGTACGCCAGCGCGCGCGCCGTGCCTGCCGCCACCAGCAGCCGCTCGGTCCAGTTGAGGGGCGGCTTGTTTTGTCTGGCTCGCCAGGGCGCATTGAGGTTGTGAGAGAGGGTTCCCCCGCCTATGAACTCGTAGACCAGCAGCTGCTCCTGCTCCTCCCGGCAATACCCCAGCAGCTGCACCAGATGCTTGTGGCGCGCCCTGGAGAGCAGCATCACCTGGCAGAGGGGAAGATGGGAGGGGAGGGTTGAAAGGGTGGGTGAGGGGGAACGAGGGAAAGAAGAGGAGGTTGAGGTTCTGTGTGTAGCAGGGGGGTTCCACCCCTTTCCCCCGCCTATGAACTCGTACACCAGCAGCTGCAACAGATGCTTGTGATGCGCCCTGGATAGAAGCATAACCTGGCAGAGGGGGCAGTGGAAGCATGGGTGACGGGGAAGGGGAGGGAAAGGAGGAGGGGAATTTGAGATTCTGAGCGAGGGTGTCTCCTCTATCCCCCACCCGCCTATGAACTCGTAGACCAGAAGCTGCTCCTGGTCCTCCCGGCAATTCCCCAGCAGCTGCACCAGATGCTTGTGGCGCGCTCGAGACAGCAGCATCACCTGACACAGAGGGGGGGGGGGGGGGGGGTGGGGGTGGATTGGGAGGGTGGGTGCGGGGAAAAAGGGGGAAAGGAGAAAGGGAGTTGAGGTTCTGCAGGTAGGCAGCAGGGGGGGTCTCTCCCCACCTCTCTCCCCCGCCTATGAACTCGTACACCAGAAGCTGCTCCTGCTCCTCCCCGCAATATACTGGAAGGGTGGATGAGGAGGAAAAGGGAAAGGAGGAAGGGAGGTAAGGGTCTGTGAGGGGGTATCCTCTCTTTTCCCTCCTCTTGAGGCGCCCCAAAAGAGCTTCTGAGGCTCCTCAAAAGGGTGGACGAGGAGGAAAAGGGAAAGGAGGACGGTATTTAAGGATCTGTGAGGGGGTATCCTCTCTCCCCCTTTATCCCTCCCTTATGACCTCGTACCCACCACCTGCTTCTCCTGTGCCTCCCGGCAACACCCCAACAGCTGCACCAAATGCTTGTGCTTTGCTCGAGACAGCAGCTTCACTTGATAAGGGGGGAGGGGAGGGGGGGTAGAAAGAAAGATGGGTGATGGGGGAGAAGAGAAACGAGGAGGGGGAGCTGAGGTTTTGTGGGGGGGGGAAGTTTCCTTTCCCTCCTTATAAACTCGTACAAACCACCTGCAACTCTTGCGTGAGCTTTTGAAGTTCTTGGCACAGCAGCAGCAGCTATTGGCGTGAGGCTTTTGAGGTGCCTCAAAAGGAGAAGGGAGTGCGAGTGGGAGCGGTGGCACAGCAGCAGCTCTTGAGTGACCTTGCTCAAATCAGATCAGATCAGATCATCGCTCCTCTCTTGACTGGGGCTCGTTGCATCACCACCACCACCCATCTCTGCGTGATACAAGGGAGTTATTGAGACGTCTTAAAAAACGCATCGCTACCACCACCCATCTCTCTCAAATAGTCCGCCTCATTCCACCTCACTCCACCTCACTCCATCGCACCTCCTTCTTGAACTTGCGCATGTCCTGCCGTCGCTCCGCCTTGGCTCGTTTCACCGCCACCACCTCTCCCGACTTGAGCCTCCCTCGGTACACCTGCCGCCCCGTGATTGGTGCAGCAGGGAAGCAGGCAAGAAAGGGAGGTGGGAAGACGCAGCAGAAGCGTCACACTCGCATCACCCTTTTGAATCATGGAATACCTGTTGAGGGCCAATCAATCTCATAGCAGACATGAAAACAGCCACCTCGCCATGTCATGCACTCCCACTATCCCATAGCATCACCCACCCACCCGACCCGAACCGACCCGATCTGAACGAACGCGCCCTGTCCAGTCGCACCATTCATATTGCCGCAGCTGCCCTGGCCAAGGTGGTTGCTGACAGCACAGCCGCCGTGCCATGCCATCCGATCCCAGCCCATCCCATCCCAGCCCATCCCATCCCACAGTCACCACTCACATTGCCATAGGCGCCCTGGCCCAGGTGGTTCTTGTCAGCTATGCCAGCATCTCATGCCGTGCCATGCCATGCCATGACATGCCATGCCATGCCATGCCATGCCATGCCATGCCATGCCATGCCATGCCATGCCATGCCATGCCATACCATGCCATACCACACAGCACCACTCACATTGCCGTAGCTGCCCTGCCCCAGGTGGTTCTTGTCTGCAAAACTGTCAGTGGCAGCTACGAGGTCCGCAAGGGTGAATTCCACCACCTTTTGAATGTCAAACGACGCCTCCTCCCCCTCACTCTCTGCCACTGCACCCCCTGCACGGCCCCCAGCAGCAGCAGCAGCAGCAGCAGCGCCACCACCACCATTACCAGCAGCAGTAGCAAAAGGACGAGCAGCGGCAGCAGCGCTGGTACCAGCAGCAGCAATCTCTGCTTGATCTAAGTTATCTCCCCAGCCTCCCCCCTCACCCTCCTCCAACTGCTCTCCTAGAGGCCGCCTCTTCTCCCTTCTACCCCCAAAAGGACTGGGTAAACCACCCCTGAACGGGCTGGGTAAACCACCCCGGCCACTAACCCCGCGGCTGCTCCCACTCCCAATGCTACAGCTATTGCTGTTGCTGATGCTGTCACTCTCACTCCCTCCACCGTCACTCGAACCATGTGCTGCGACCACTGAGAAGCCGCCACGTGGCGTGTGGGGATTGGGCGGGAGGCGGCGGTAGAGCAGGAGAGCCATGGTGGAGGCGGCTAGAGCGGTGATGAGGGCGAGAGAGAGGGAGAGGGTGAGGGCTGAGATGAGGATGGCACGACTGGTGGGGGAGAGAGCGGTGGGCTCAATGTTGGTGGTGCTGGTGCTGTTGTTGCTGCTGCTGTTGCTGCTGTTGCTGCTGTCACTGGTGTTGCTGCTACTGGTGGTGGTGGTGCTGCTGCTGCTGTTGGTGCTGCTACTGTTGCTGCTTGTGCTATCAGTGCTGCTGGTGCTGTTGCTCGTAATAGCAGTACTGTTGCTGCCATTGTTTCTGTTGCTTGTGGTAGCAGTGGTGTTTCCGCGACTGTTACTCACGTCGCTACTGCTGGCAATCCAAGACTCATTGCTCTTCTCACTGCTACTGCTGCTGTTCCTGCTGCTTCTGCTGTTACTGTTCCCGTTGCTGCTGCTGGTAGCGTTTATTTTGTCACTCTTGCTCTCGCTGCTCCTGCTGCTGTTCCCGTTGCTGCTGTTGCCGTAGCCGTCGCTACCGTTTATGCTGCTGCTGCTGCTGCTGCTGCTGCTGCTATTTCCGTTTCCATTGCTGCTGTTGCTCAGGCGGCTGTCACCTTCTGCCTTCAACACGAACAACATGGAAGGAGAGGACAAGGCGAAACGAAGATGCGTTGAGGGCACGGAACGAGATGTGGACGGAAAGGAGCCAGTGGTAGAGAGAAAAAGGCATTCGGAACGCAGAGACACGTTTGAGAATTCTCAGAATTGACTCTAACAAAGAACGCAGCAAGCTTAGATACGTTTCAGTAACTGAAATCTACGGACACAGAGGGAGCAGCAGCAGCAGCATCAGCATCAGCATCAGCATCAGCAGCAGCAGCACGATTTACATCGAAAGAACGCGCTTCAGCTGCAGCTTGGCACTGTGGCAACCTTGACGACACAGTACGAGTCTACGAGCCTCGCTGGCACATTCAGCGAGCATTGCGGGTTGGAAATGGCAGACCTTACTCTCTCTCGCCACTCGCATATGACTCGCGTCTGAGTTTAAAATCCTGCTGCTCCTCAAGCCGCCATTAGCACGCGAATCCGTTGCTCCATCCGCATTCTCCAGGCGTGGTTTCGAATCCTTGCGTCGTCTGACGATCAGTCTAGGCAACACGACAGGTACTATCAACGGTGCTGTCTGGTCAACGCTTTGAGAATCTGCTGGGTAAGATGGACTATTATCGAGATCAGTCGATTCTGGTTGAAAACGTATGGGATAAACGGAACTCAGCGAGGTTGGTTGTGTAGGTGCTTCAATCGTGGATGATTGTAACGAGTCGGAAAAGCGCGGTGCTCGGGCGGTGATCCCTCGGGCGGTGATCCCGCGTGCTGCAGACAGCAGCATGAGCAGGATGAGCAGCAGCAGGCGCGTGTGCACTACTTGGCACGCAATATATTGCATCGCGGCGTCGGCAGGATGCGTCAATCCGTTTCGCTCGAATCGAAGTTTCGTCGCGCGGCGAGACGTCGCCAGCCTCGGAGCAGGATGAGGCGTACTAGCTCGAGGCGATGCGCACGGCGTCGTCACCATTATTGAACGCTGTTTACTTCAGGTGATGATGACACTCGCAATGATTCGGAGGTGCTAGGTTTACGTGGTGTCATTGCCTGAAGCTTCTGGCTTCTGGACGAACGGCCATCAGATATTCGAGCTGGTTCTGGACGAGCCCAGGTATTGAAGAGCCTATTTAAACTCCTCTACTACGCCTGCTGCCGACTGCTCTCTTTTTTCTTCGGCAATTACTAAAGTGACAACTCGCCCTTCGGCCTCGGGTTATCACCACGAGTAAGGCAGGAGGAGCAAGCGCTAGAAAGCATTCAGTGGAAATATTAGTTCAACGACAGCAGAGTTGACGCGAGTGATGGAGATGGCGGATGATGTTATTGATTCTACACGCGGAGCGACTAGAGGTGGATGGAAAAGGGGACCATCCACGAACAGGGAGTGTTTCAGCTAGCTCTGAAGATCTCACTGTATTGCCCAGCGAGCAGGTGGGTGGGACGGGAACAAAACGCACTTGAAATGGGATGGGCTGTGCTTGAACAATCGACACCATCCATCCAAAATTTGCATGTGCATCATCGTTCGATCCTTCATCGTGGTCGTCGATCTTTTCCTCCCCTTGGTTTCAACTACATCTATTGCGGTTGAGTAAGAGCGCGGGAAGAGTGGCTGTACAGTGATCCGCCGTCAGTCAAGCGCCCCTTCAAATTTGAGCGGCGGCGCCCCGGCGCAGTCCGTTGCGCGAGTGAAAGGGGAATGCGCATGCGGGGAAGTAGGGCGGAGACGTTACTGTGCACGGACTGTTCCCGCAGTCAGGGCAAGAACCTGGAGGCAGCGAAAGATGCGGCGAAGTGAGCGCCAGGCCGCAGGTCCTTTACTGTTTGCAAACGCTTTAGAGTCATTCTTGATAAGGTGCCCAGATGAAGTGTTTATGAAGAAAATAGACATACCAGCAGACAGCTGACAGTACACCACCACAAATGAGCTACTGTACACTGTCAATCACATCAAACACAATAGAAATCAAGGCAGCATAATTACCCCACAACCAACATACATTAGTGAACGACTGACCCAAAGACACTATAACCAGAAACCAAACCTAATATCAGTAACATCTCTGTTCACGAATCTGCGGACCCTGCTCTGCTATCATCATCTGACACAGGCTCCCTCATTATTTCCAGCTTTGTGAGTGCTGAGTTGGGGCCACGTTCCCTCAGAATCTCCTCATAAAACCGATCCCTGAATCCAGACTCGCTCCAGTACTCTTGATACTCCGGCTTCACTCTCCGCACAGGAATGGTGATGGAATACACGGTCCCAATGTCCGGGTCAGCTGACACACTCAGCTGCACGTCTTCTTCTGATTCTATCTCCACGTATGCTGAAATTGCATCAATGATCTTGCGGCGTAGTCGCCTTCTCACTTCAGGACTTACTTCCCCTCGATCTGTGTACAGAACAAGCCGAAGCCGCTCTTTGGCAATCTCTGCATTGCTGCAAGACGTTTGAGAAAGGAAGAATGGTCAAATGCTTGGCCACGAATTACTCAACCCAATGGAACAGCCATGAAAGGGACGGATTTCGAAGAAAAAATGTGACTGAGAAAATCGGTTTTACAGACAGTTGACCACCCATAACTTTTACAGTCAGCGAGCTCGGTGGTGTGACTAACCTCGGAGGACGGTTTCTTGGTGGAAAGATGATTCGCCATGCCCGCTGCAACCGTTGAAGGAAAGTTAACTCAAATAGATCTTCGTCATCTTCATCATAATAGGTAGCTTTTACTGCAAAGATAATGCATCAAAGAAGGATACATAAAACTGCTGAAGCCACAAAATGCAGGCAACTGAAGTAATGGCAAGTGAGCAAATTCATACCCGTAAAAGCCCGGCAGACGCCAGGCCTTGGCAATGGGTTAGCCCTAAAACCTGAAATTCCGTGAAATCCTGGTGTCAAAGCGCTTCGCAATAATGTCCGTGAGCGAGTCAACGATTGCTGCCGTACTGTTCCTAGTCTTGACTGCAAGCGTATGCAGACATGAGAACCACGTGAGAAACATGCCCAAATGCACAGCCTCGAGCGAAAGGCGAGTAACTTTTTCCAAAGTAGGAAAGCAAAGGCTTACCGACGGATAGGTCTGAGAACATCTAACGGGAGAATGCGATAAAGCATCTGAACTTGCAACGGCGCTCCTAGAAGCCTCTGGCAATAACGGTTGAGCGACCCTAGAAGATGACGACCACACTGCGGGTCGCGCCATTGTCTCCATCAGTAAACTACCACTCACTAAGCTGCTTCGGTACCCACCAACGACGTATCCAATAGTCAGAGATCTAAAAGCTTCATCCCTAGGTCCATGGATGTTGCTTTCGTGAACAGTGAGAGAACACTCTTTGCGAGGGTTCTCAGCGAATCACACCGTCGCTAGAGCTTCCTTTCCTCACCTGACAGGCCCTTGAGCACATACGAGGGGAAGAGGAGCGAACCAGGAAAAACGAACGGTATCCGGCCAGAATTTTGTTTTGGCGGGAAATATACAGTGTTGAGCCATGTACTGTATTTCGACAAGGTAATAGCTACTCAATATATCTAGCCTCATAAAAAACGTCAAGATCGAGCAATCCAGCATCATTAACGTATTAACGCAGTTGGTCATGTATGGGTAAAAAATGACAGCTCCTGATCCTAGTAACCATTCAGCGTTTTCTTTTTGCTCTCGAAGTAGCATCAGGCACCGTTTCTTTTCTTTTTCCGCTCCCTGCCACGGTGGCCTTTGCCTGCAGTCCTGAGACGGCAGTTGACCACAGTGCCTTCTCTACATCAGCAGCTGTGAACTTAACGAGTGAAGCCTCCTCTTCATGTGACGTGGAACGGGCACAGTCCTGCTCTGCTTGCCCTTCTGCTTCGAGCCGATTCAATCCCTGTCGAGGAAATAAGGGAGGAGGAAGAGATTCATCCAGTGATTTAGGTTCAAGAACAAGGAAAGGGGCATGCGGCCTCAAGGCAGGAGCAGTTTACATGCTCACACCCTTGGAAAAGATGCAGAGAAATGTGCTCGCACTGAAACGCACTCACACTGAAACAGGCTCGCACTGAAACCTTCTCACCCGGGCCAGCGTATGCAAACAGGAATGCACATGCACCAAGAACCTACAGAGCACATCATGCGTTCCAAGCCAAAAGTTTGAAACGTTCCACACCTCACAGATATTTTCAAACACTCTTTCCGGCGAAGGTAACAAAAAAAGCGCCACTCAGCTTACCGATGCCTTTTCGCGCATGGCCTTGCCAAAAACGAGGTAGCGGCGAAGCGAGTAGTCTTTGCAGTCCCCCAACGCCGCAACCATGGCCTGGATCACCGCAGCAGGGAGGGAGATGAGAAGAGAGGCAAGGACAAAGAGGAAGGGGAGGGAGCACACAGAGACTGACAGGAGGAAGGCATCCCAGTGCTCATGAGGTAGCGGCGACGCGAGTAGTCCTTGCAGTCCCCCAACGCCGCAACCATGGCCTGGATCACTGCGGCAGGGAGGGAGATGAGAAGAGAGGCAAGGATGAGGAGAGGGAGCACTAAGGGACTGTTGGGAGGAAGGGCATCAGAATGCTCATGAGGTAGCGGCGAAGCGAATAGTCCATGCAGTCTCCCAAAGCCGCAACCATGGCCTGGATCACTGCGGCAGGCAGGCAGATGAAATGAGATGCAAGGATGAGGGGAGGAGCACAGAGACCGTCGGGAGGAAGGGCACCAGATTCTCACATGAGGAAATCAATTGATATTTCAAGTGGTTGAAGGAGATGGGGTTGGGGGTTTAGGGTCCAGGGTTTGGGGTTCGGGGATTTAGGGTTTAGGGTTGTTGCAGAGGCAGCAATGGAGAAAGAAACATGGATGGATGCGTTTACATACTTCACAGTATTTCGCTCCTGAGAAATTATCTTCGCTTTGTAGATCTCTGCTCACCTCATTCGACATGAATGGAGTGGCAAATGCAGCCAGCACTGCAGATGCTGTTGCTGCTCCAACGCCCTTGAGTTACAAAAGTTCTGTCACTGCAGCCTTTAGACTCGCTTTAACACCTGCTCCCAAACGTGCTCCCGAGAAGAATCCCTGCTCACCTCATCCGACATAAATGGAGCGATTTCAGGGGCGAACGCAGCCAGCACTGCAGATGCTGTTGCTGCTCCAACGCCCTTAAGTGTTGACAGCTCCATTACTGCTGCCTTCAGACTCGCTTCAACATCTGCTTCAAAACGTGCTCTCGAACCTGATTCCGAACCTCCAGGCGTGGTAAGGTTGTGGTATGGCGCCAGAGCAGCGAAGGCTCGAGATGATGCGGCCTCGACTGCTTTGGGGTCGAGATGCTTGACGAAGTCCAGAAGACGAGGGCTGATTGGGGAAGGGAGAAGGAAGGGAGAAGGAAAGGGAGAAGGAAAAGGGAGAAGGAAAGGAAGGGAGAAGGAAAAGGGAGAGGGGGAGCGTGAGGGGCTTTGAAGTCAACACAAAGATGATGCAGTTTGGATTGCATCAGAGTCAAGCTGCTTGCTGAAGCTCAGGAGACGAGGGACGGTGGGCGAAGGGAAGGGAAAAGGTAAGGGAGAAGGAGGAGAGAAGGAAGGGGGGAGGGGGCGTGAGGGGCTATAAGTCAACTATAAGTCAACACAGAGATGATGCGGTTTGGACTGAGTTGGGTTCGAGCTGCTTGATGAAGTCGAGGAGACGAGGGCTGATGGGGCAAGAGAAGGGAGGAGGAAGGGAGGGGAGGAGGAGGCAGGGGGAGCAGGTGAAGGGGCTTTTAAGTCTGCTCCAAAGTCTTGCAATAAGGGCTGCATGGGGGTCGAGCTGTTTGACGAAGTCGAGGAGACGAGGGCTGATGGGCAAGAGAAGGCGGAAGAAAGGGAGAAGGAGGGGAGACGGAGGCCGGGAGCGGGGTGAGGGGACTTTTGAGTTCAGGGAGACAAGCGCTGATGGGGGAAGGAAGAATGAACGGGGAGGTAGAGGGGAAGGAAGAGGGGCTTTAAGTCAACACAAGAATGATGCGGTTTGGACTGCAGTGCGATCAAGCTGCTTGATGAACTCGGGGAGACGAGCGCTGATGGGGGAAGGAAGAATGAACGGGGAGGTAGAGGGGAAGGAAGAGGGGCTTTAAGTCAACACAAGAATGATGCGGTTTGGACTGCAGTGCGATCAAGCTGCTTGATGAACTCGGGGAGACGAGCGCTGATGGGGGAAGGAAGAATAAACGGGGAGGTAGAGGGGAAGGAAGAGGGGCTTTAAGTCAACACAAGAATGATGCGGTTTGGACTGCAGTGTGATCAAGCTGCTTGATGAACTCGGGGAGACGAGCGCTGATGGGGAAGGAAAGGAAGGAAGGGGGAAAGGAGGTAAGAAGGAAGGGAGAAAGAAGGGAGAGGGAATGGGGTGCGGGCGTGAAGGGCTTTGAGTACAGCACAATCATGCGGTTTGAACGACATCAGGGTCGAGCTGCTTGATGAAGTCCAGGAGACGAGGGCTGATAGGGGAAGGGAGAAGGAAGGGAGAGGAAGGGAGAAGTAAAAGGGGAGAGGGGCTTAAGTCAACACCGAATTCATGCGGTTTTGAACTGCAGTGGGGTCGAGCTGCTTGATGAATTGCAGGAGACGAGGGCTGATTGGTGGGAAGGGATTGGAGAAGGAAAAGGGGAAAGCTGGGGTGAAGGGGGTTTGAAGGGGGGGGAGGGAAGGCTGAAGTGAAGGGGAAGGGAAAATGGTTGTGTACACATGGGGATTGCAGATTAATGAGATTGAGAATTGCGGGAGTCGAGATAGGAGTCTTGTGTTGCAGGTTTCAGATTTCAGGTAATTGTGAGGGTGGGGTAAAACGATCGCGTGCGGGTGATGGGAAGAGAGGAAGAGGGGGCAAGGGGTCGGTGATGGTCGGGGAGGGAATGGCGTTAAGGAAATTACCGCCACTTGCCACGTGTCAGCTTCCACTCCATCACCGACACGAGCTCCTCCTTGCTGACGTAAGCTCCACCACCCCCACCATCCCCTCCACCCCCACCATCCCCTTTCTCCTTGTCCTCGCTTTCTGAATCTTCGCGTTTCCTGCTCCTACTTCTGGTAACCCTAGATTCAATACACCCGCCCTTAGCATTCCCGCGTTTACTCCCACCTGTGGTATCTCCACCATTACTAACAGTCTCTGGTTTAGAATCTCCTGCTTCGACATCCTCGGCTTTAAGATCTCCGGCTTCGAGGTTCCCCGGTTCAGGGTCACCGCTTTCGCCACCGCGTTGTCGCTGCCGCAATCGCCGCGGCAGCTCGTCGCAGTAGAACGCGTCGAGTGCCGCGAGCTTAGGCTTCGCGAGCGACTCGATCGCGCTGCTGTACGCGGTACGGGCTTCCCGCCAAGCGCACCGATCAGACGACGAGAAATCAAGCATCCTGTCAGAAATCGTCCTCTAATCGACGGACTGCTAACTTAGCAGACTGTAGCCTTGTCCATCAATCCTTTACTTCACTTTGCCTCGCCTATTGACAATCCCAAGGTAAACTTTGTGTGAATGGTTTCCATATACTGGTGTGGTTCGGAAACGCATATATGGACAACATTTTTTATTGTTTTATACATAAGCAACTTCATATGAAAAAAATCAATACTCATCTCTGATATTGTTTGTTACAGAATTTTCATCAACAGGTTCAAATTCTCTAACAGGGCCTTTGAACCAATACCTAGCATGCAGCAGCCACCACACAATAAACATCTTCATCCACACAGCTATGGCGACCGGTGCCCAATTGAAATTCTCCACCGTGATAGGAAACATCGTCGGGAGGTTGAATACGACGAGGGTGTAGAGCACCCAGAGCAGAGCAACCACGTGGACCATTTTCCTGTGAAAACGATTAGAAGGGGGTGTGTTGGGGGATGCAGAATGAGGAATTAATCTTCACTGCGAAATGCAAGGAGATGTGAAACGAGGGGCAATGGGAACTAGCCATGTATGTCAGACCAATACTTAGGTGTCATTACCTTGGCCTCACCTGTCGTTGCCCTTTCCCATCCACACCTCCCCACCACCCCACCCCTCTTCACTCCTCTCCTCCTCCCCCTCACCCCTTCCAAACCTTTTTTTTTTTTTTTTTTTTTTTTTTTTTTTTTTCATTTTTCGATTCACCTACCCAGCGGTGAACCCGACGTAGTTGGGCAGATAAAACGGGCCAGGCGGAAATTATCTCTCATCTTGCAGGGTGCGGAAGAGGATGGGGATGGAGTAGGCGGAGATCCAAGCAATGGTGGAGATGGATGCGAGGGCGAAGAAGAGCGTGGAGGAGGCGAGCACAGGGCCTTACCACCAACCACACTGCATCGAAATCTCACCCCGTTCCTACTCCCCTCCTCCCCCCCCCCCCCCCCCCCCCCCCCCCCCCGACTCCCATGCAATGTAACAGTGTTGTTTCACCTACCCGGCTGTGAACCCGATGTAGTTGGGCAGATAAAACGGGCCGGGCGGAAAATTTCTCTCATCTTGCAGGGTGCGGAAGAGGATGGGGATGGAGTAGGCGGAGATCCAAGCAATGGTGGAGATGGATGCGAGGGCGAAGAAGAGCGTGGAGGAGGCGAGCACGGGCAGTAGGAAGAGCAGCCCCACGAGCACGGAGAGCGTGAGTGCCCATATTGGAACGCGGTTGGGTGCCAATCGTCGCCAGAGGGAGGACAAGGGCAGGCCACCATCCCTAGCCAGGGCATATGCCTGGGGGAGTAGGGGTGGGGAGTGGGGGAGAGGATCCAAGCGATTGTGGAGAAGAGCGTGGAGGAGGCGAGCACAGGCAGCAGGAAGAGCAGCCCGACGAACACGGAGAGTGTCAGTGGTCACACTGGCACTCGGTTGGGTGCCAAGCAGCGCCAGAGCGAGGAGAAGGGCAGGCCACCATCCCTAGCTAGGGCATAGGCCTGTGAGAGTAGAGGGCAGGGGGGCGGGGAAAGGGGGAAGGGGGGTGGGGTGGTGGGGGAGATCCAAGCGATGGTGGAGATGGAAGTGAGGCCGAAGAAGAGCGTGGAGGATGCCTGGCTCTGACGGTTTGATGTATTGAGTCGACTCGTGTTTTGAGTCGTGTTTTGAGCCGACTCGTGTTTTGAGTCGACTCATGTTTTGAGTCGACTCGTGTTTTGAGTCGACTCGTGTTTTGAGTCGACTCGTGTTTTGAGCCAACTCGTGTTTTGAGTCGTGTTTTGAGTCGACTCGTGTTTTGAGTCGTGTTTTGAGTCGACTCGTGTTTTGAGTCGTGTTTTGAGTCGACTTAAAATAAGAGCAGAGCGTGGAGCAGAGCGTGGAGGATGCCTGGCTCTGACGGTTTGATGCCAGGCGCCGCCAGAGCAAGGGGAAGGGAGAGGCTGCTAGGGGGGTGTGGAGTAGGCGTGGGGGGGTGTGGAGTAGGCGTGGGGGGGTGTTTGACCAGGAGGGAAAAGGGGGGGAGAAGAGTGGGGTTGAGAGGTCCCACACTGGAACAAGGTTTGAGAGGTCCTACACTGGAACAAGGTTTGAGAGCTCCCACACTGGAACAAGGTTTGAGAGGTCCCACACTGGAACAAGGTTTGAGAGGTCCCACACTGGAACAAGGTTTGAGAGGTCCCACACTGGAACAAGGTTTGAGAGGTCCCACACTGGAACAAGGTTTGAGAGGTCCCACACTGCCCTCTCACCACACGACATGCCCCCAGCTGACACGAGAAAGTGGCTCCGAAGAAACACAATCGTTTTCAAAAACCCTTGATCACTCACTCAGTAGCCCACAGTACAGGAACGCACTCTGTGCAGCAGCACGCAGCAGCACGCAGCAACACGCAGCAGCACGCAGCAACACGCAGCCGACTCACCACACGAGATGGCCCAATTTGGCACGAGAGAGTGGCGTGGCTCCGAAGAACGCAGTCGCATTTGAGAACTCTTGATCGCTCAGTAGCACAGATGGTACACAGTGCTTGCTGCACCACACAGCACCACACAGTACCGCACAGCAGCATTCAGCCTACTCACCACACGAGATGCCCCCAGCTGGCATGAAAGAGTTGCTCCGAAGAAAGAGATGCAGATGACGACTGTAAAGACCTGCGCTCCCAACCCAGAGCCGTAACTGCGGGGGGGTTGGGGGAGGAAGAGGTGCGGGGAGGAGAGAAGAGAGAAGCGGCAAAGTAGAGGAGAGGGGAGGGTAATTGGGAAGGGTAGGAGGAAGAACCAAGTGCAGATGACCATAGTAACTGCAGTGACTGGAAGTGAGGGGGTGGGGGGAGGTGGGAAGGGTGTGCGAAGGCTTGCAAGTGCCATGGGACAAAGACCTCTTTTCTTGCAAGTGCCACGGGACAAAGACCTGTTTTCTTGCAAGTGCCATGGGACAAAGACCTGTTTTCTTGCAAGTGCCATGGGACAAAGACCTCTTTTCTTGCAAGTGCCATGGGACAAAGACCTCTTTTCTTGCAAGTGCCATGGGACAAAGACCTCTTTTCTTGCAAGTGCATTCCTGGTGGCTGGGGTGGCAGGGAAAACTTGGCTTGCAAGTGCCACGGGACAGAAACTTCTTTTCAGTGCATTCTTTCAGTACCGGCATGTTAGTAAGAGCGAGTGCAAGACAACAGCCATCTTCCTTCTCCTCCTTCCGTAATTCCCCTTTTCCCGCGTCCCCCCGTCTCCTTCCCCCCCCCCCCCTCCCATCCTCCCCGCCCCACCCTTCATTCTTACCGAGTGTAAAACACGTCCCACATGATCTGCACCACTGGTTGCATGCCACCTGTCACACTCTCCGCCACGAACAGATGAGCTGGATCCTGGATGCTCCACGTCAGCACCACCACGAGCAGCCACGCCAGCACGGTCACTGTGGTCAGAGAGGACATGATTGCGAGCGGCGCCGTCCGGTCGGCCTTCTTTGTCTCTTCTGCGAGATGCGCCACGCAGTCGTAGCCGTAGAGGGAGTACTGTGAGACGAGGAGAGTGATGAGGAAGGAGTAGGCCTGGGCGGGTGCAAGAGGAGGGAAAGGAGAGGCAGGAGGGAGAGAACGGAATGGGGACGTGTTAGACGCCCAAGAGACGCAGTCGTAGCTGTAGAGGGAGTATTGGGAGACGAGGAGAGTGATGAGGAAGGAATAGGCCTGGGGAAGGAGGATTGGTAGGGTAACGGTGGGAGAAGAGGAAGGAGGAGAGGGATAGAGAGGGGAAGGGGGTTGATAAGTAACGGTTGTTTTATAGCCATAAAGGGAGTACTGAGACACGAGGAGGGTGATGAGGAAGGAATAGGCCTGGGCGGGACAGTAAGAACGAGAGTAGGGAGAGGAGGGAGAAGTGGAAGAATCGGGAATGGGGACGTGTTAGCAGTCCAAGACACACAGTTGTAGGATTTGAGGGAGCATTGGGAGACAAGGAGAGTGATGAGGAAGGAATAGGCCTGGGAGGGAGGGAAGGATGAGGGGCGGGAGAATAGGAGGGGAGTTGGGAGAGGAGGGAATGGGGACTGGTGCGCCAAGCAGTCGTAGCCGTAGAGGTAGTATTGTGAGACGAGGAGCGTGATGAGGAAGGAGTAGGCCTGGGAAGGAGTAGGCCTGGGAAGGAGTAGGCCTGGGAAGAGGGGCAAGGGGAGGGAGAAGAGGGACAATACGAGGGAGAGGAGGGAATGGGGACAGTTCAGCAGCCCGAGAGACGCAGTCGTGGCCGTAGAGGGAGTACTGGGATGCGAGGAGCGTGCTGCGGAAGGAATAGGCCTGGAAAGGATGGGGGCAGGAGAATACGAGGGACAGGAGGAGGACGAGGGAGAGGAGGGAGAGGAGGGAGAGGAGGGAGAGGAGGGAATGGGGGCTGTTTAGCAGCCGAGACAAGCAGTTGTAGCTGTTGAGGAAGCACTGGGAGACGAAGAGAGTGATGAGGAAGGAGCAGGCCTGATGAAGGGGGGTGGATAGGGTGTGGGTCCGGGAGTAGGTCCGGGAGGGAGCAAGAGGAGTTGTGACAACGGAAACAAATTGACACAAATTGACACAAATTGAGAAGTCATATCTCCTTGAGACAAATCGACTTTCTCACTGCGTAGACCCCAAGTGCGTAGACCCCACGTGCGTAGACCCCACGTGCGTGGACCCCACGTGCGTAGACCCCACGTGCGTAGACCCCACGTGCGTAGACCCCACGTGCGTGGACCCCACGTGCGTAGACCCAAAGTGCGTGAAAAAACTCACAACGCTGGTAGGCTGTATGTTTTCTGACCGAGCGTGTCCAGACTCACATTGCTGGGCGTGAGTGTGATGTCTCTGTTGTTGCCAAAGTCCCCAAACACCCAGGATGCGGGCTCATGGGTGGGCGCCACTAGAGGCAGCATGACGATGAGCACCACTGCTGCTGCTATCTGCGATACATGGGGCGAACGGGAGATAAGGGCGGGATGAGGGCGGGATGAGGGCGGGATGAGGGCGGGATGAGGGCGAGACAAGGGTCTGATGGGTGGGTGGATGTCCCTAGAATCAGCATGACGATGACCACGACTTCTACTGCTATGTGAGGGTATAAGGGGAAAGGCCAGAAGAGGAGAAACGGGAATGTCAAAGTGACGTGTAGAGAGGGTGTTTTTGAGACGTCTCAAAAAACACCCTTCCTACACGTGGCTATATGAGGGTAAAGGGGAAAGGCCAGAAGAGGAGAACCGGGAAAGTCAAAGGCGTGAGCATCACTGCTGGTATGTGACCTAAGAAGTTTAGTAATATGGCAACAAGGTTCCATTTCAGAGTGTTCTTGAGACGTCTCAGATACACTCTTCTTTCAAAATAACATGGTAACAAGGTTCCATTTTTGAGTCGACTAAAAAATGAACGACTCAAAAATAAACTCATCACACGCGGCGAGAGCATCGGTGCTGGTATGGTATGTCACCTGAGAAGTCAAGCTTTTGAGTTGAATCAAAAGTCACCTTGCAACATGGCAACAAGGTTCCAAGGTAGCACAGGTGCCAAGCGGAAAATGACCTGAGCAGTACAGTGTGAAAATCACCTGAACAACGAAGGACTCATCTTGAGAAGACCACCTGAGGATTCACCTGAATGGCAGCAGAGACGACCATGACTGTTGCTACAGTGCGCACTGATAAGCAGTTGATGAGGAAGCAGATAAGCACAAAGCCGCACGCAATGGCGAAAACAGCGTACTTGCTGAGGAGGTACCCACCCCCATCAGCACCGCCTGTTATATGGGTTGCAGGGAAAAGGAAGGCAGGATGGCATGGCATGTAATGGCAGAGGCAGCGTACTTGCTGAGGAGGTAGCCACCCCCATCAGCACCGCCTGGTGTTTGGGTGGCAGGGAGGTATGGCATGGAATGGCAAGGGATGGCATGAGATGGCATGCGGTGGCTTGGTATGGTATGGTATGGTATGGTATGGTATGGTATGGTATGGTAAGGTATGGTATGGTATGGTATGGTATGGTATGGTATGGTATGGTATGGTATGGTATGGTATGGTGTGGTGTGGTGTGGTATGGTATGGTATGGTATGGCATGGCATGTGACAGCATGGCATGACACATGGCACTGCATGGCACGTGCGTATACCAATGGATGGAAACCCCAGTATGCATGTGCACACCATCCCCTTCCCCAGTATGCATGTGCACACCATCCTTCCCCAAAACTCTTTCGCCTTATTCAACGCAACTCTGCATGTGTATGTGAAACCCCAGAGATTCCAACCGACCGTGTATATTCATCTCATCAACGTGCGCATGCATGTGTGCGTGTGTGTGCGTGTGTGTGCGCGTGCGTGTGCGTGTGCGTGTGCGTGTGTGTGTGCGTGTGCGTGTGCGCGTGCGTGTGCGTGTGCGGGTGCATGTGCGTGTGTGCGTGTGCGTGTGCGTGTGCGTGTGCGTGTGCATGTGCGTGTGCGTGTGCTTGTGCGTGTGCGTGTGCGCATGCATGTGCGTGTGCGTGCGTGCGTGTGTGTGTGTGTGTGTGTGTGTGTGTGTGTGTGTGTGTGTGTGTGTGTGTGTTTAATCCGGCAATGTGAGTGAGTGTACCTGTTGAGATGAGGATGAGCACTTGCAGAATAACGGAGCCTCCATACGAGACGTTGGCGCCACACACTGCCAGGCCCAGGAACTCCATCCACCCCTGCCAGAGCACAGGGGAGCACAGGGGAGCACAGGGGAGCAGATGAGAGACGCTGCTTCGACACACAGCCAGGCCCAGGAACTCCATCCATCCCTGCCACAGGGGAGAACGGGCAAGCGGCATCAGTCAGTCACACAGCGGCGCATGAGAGACGTTTGAGTCGACTCAAAAGTCGCATTCGCACGATTTTTGAGGCGCCTAAAAAATTGGACTCAAAAGTCGCATTCGCAAACAAACAAGCCTAGACGCAGCATCCACCCCGGCCAGAGCAAGGCAAGCGCAACGGGCACTAGGAAAACCAGATTGCGTTTTACTGTAAATCGAATCAGATGGCATCTCACCGTGAATCAAATCAGATCGCATCTCACCGTGATGAATGAAGCCAGTGGGCCCCACTTCGGCCCTGCCAGTGCTGCCGCCCAAAAATAGAGCGAGCCAGCTGTCTGGAAGAAGAGGATAGTGAAATCAGAAGAAGGACAGGTGGCAAGGACAGGTGGCAAGGACAGGTGGTTGGCCCACTTGGGCTTTCATGTCACAAAAGGAAAGGTAGTTAAGCCGCGCCTTTAGCCATGAGACTAGGCGAGCTGCAGCTTAGGAAAATTCTTCATGTCACAGCGGCTGCTTAGAAAGCAGCGGCTGCTGTCTTCATGTCACAGGTGGATAAGCCGCGCCTTTAGGTCGGAGACACGAAAGATTGTGAACTTGGTGGGTGAGTGGGGGAATGATGAATGATGGAGGAATGAAATGGTTAAGCGGGTGGATTTGTTGGTTGCAGTGCAGTGCGGTAAAGTGTGGTAAAAGAAGATAGTGGAGCATTACTTTCTTACTGGGAATGAGAGGAGGCTATCTGGGCTATGGAGAGGCTTATAAGGTGGACAGAGAGAATTGTTATGAGTGGCACCACTGACTGACAACAGTATAGTAAAGAGTGTACTTTCACTGGAAATGGAGATGCTATTTCGGCCATGGAGAAGCCTATAAGGTGGACGAAGAAAGTTGTTTATGAGTGGCACCACTGACCGGCAACAATGCAGTATAGAATAAACTCTCTCACCGGGAACGAGGATGCTATCTCGGCCATGGAGAGGCCTATAAGGTGTACGAAGAGGGCTGTGATCTGTGGTACCACTGATTGCCAAACAATGTAACACAGGGTGTAGTCTTACTGGGAACGAGGATGCTATCTCGGCCATGGAGAGGCCTATAAGGTGTACGAAGAGGGCGGTGATCCACCAGTACCAGATGAGCCCTGCTGGGCCGCCGTTGATGAAGCCCTGGCTGCAGCAGGGGAGGGGAAGGGGGAGGGACGGGGGAGGGGAGGGAATGAATTGTGGAGTGAGGGAGAGGAAATGGCGAGTGACAGGGGACAGGAGGGAGTGAGTGGGGGGGATTGGGAGGGGAAAGGGGAGGGACGAAGTGGGCGGTGATCCACCAGTACCAGATGAGCCCCCCTGGCCCACCGTTGATGAACCCTTGTCCATTGGTACAGAGTTCAAGGAAGAGAGTGAGAAGAGCGTGTGTGAAAATCGAGTGAGGGGAGGGTACAGGAAGGGGAGAAGGGAGGGAAGAGGGCGGTGATCCACCAGTACCGAAATAGCCCAAGGTGGGCGCCGATCGTTTTTACCCTTTGTGCTTGTTTTATACGGCACACACGCAGGATCATGCGAGTGGGGAGGGGAGGGAAAGGGACATACGCGTAGGTGGGGACGTACGAACATACATGCATGGGGCATGCGAATGGGGAGGGGAGGGAAAGGGACGTACGCGTAGGTGGGGACGAATCCGGCGAATACAGTCATGAAAGACACGCCCACTGCCTAGAGGCCGAGGAAACGCTGTGGGGAGGGAGAGAGGTTGGGGGCATGGGGGGGAGAGGGAGAGATGGGGGGTGAATGGGGACAGTCATGAAAGACACGCCGTGTAGAGGCCGCGTAAAGGCGCCCACTGCGTAGAGGCCGAGGAAACGCTGAGAGTTGAAGCGCGGGGATGGGGGGATGGGGGGATGGGGGGATGGGGACAGACATGAAGCACACGCCCACTGCGTAGGGCGCCAGGAGACGCTGAGGGGAGGAGAGGGGTTGGAGGGATGGACACGGGCTTGCGATGAGATGGGAGATGGGAGATGGGAGATGGGAGATGGGCGATGGGAGATGGGAGATGGGCGATGGGCGATGGGAGATGGGCGATGGGAGATGGGCGATGGGCGATGGGAGATGGGAGATGGGCGATGGGAGATGGGAGATGGGAGATGGGCGATGGGAGATGGGAGATGGGCGATGGGAGATGGGAGATGGGCGATGGGAGATGGGCGATGGGAGATGGGAGATGGGCGATGGGAGATGGGAGATGGGAGATGGGCGATGGGCGATGGGAGATGGGAGATGGGCGATGGGAGATGGGAGATGGGAGATGGCAGATGGGAGGTGGGAGATGGGACAAAGTATTTTCTGCTCCGTTTACTTTGAGTGATAGGGAGAGCCGAGAACTCACCAGAGAGCGGTGGAGCTCCTGCCGGTAGCCCAGCTCGTTCAAGCGCTTCTCAGCGGGATCTAGCTCCACGGAGAGCGTGATTCCGTCCTCCATGGTGATCTGAAGGATCTTCTGCTCCGTTCCCACCTCCTCGTCGTGCCGCTGAATCATAGCCACTATCGCGGCGCCTTCAAATGCGGACGCCTCCGTGTACAGGTTCATCTCCTCGCCGTGCGGCGGAAGCTTCTGCGAAGGTTCGTCGTCGCCGTCACGACGGTCGTAATCCGTTTCAGTCAGAGCGCGGCGGCCGTCGCCGATGGCGGAATCTGTCGCGTGGTGGTCGCACGCGTCGTGGTGGCACTGTTTTGTCGCTCCGCAACCGTCGCCGAGCGACGCTTCTATCTCGTCGCATTCAGCAGCTAGTATCACTGGTGTTGCGACCATTGTCACCAGCACAGCGTCAACGACACGGCGAGGAGTTTGAAGCGAGGCAGCCCTGCTTACTAAGTACGTGACGCGGCAGAGGGGTAGTGCCAATAGTATTGCTCGTACAACGAGCTCTGGTACTCTCTTTAGGAAATACTCCTAGAAATTACTCCTTGCAAGAAAGTGGACAGTAGTATGCGTTTCCGTCGGGATTATGAGCGAGTTAAGAACGTGTACTACAGTAGTCAGACGTGTACACTGCATATAGTTCGGGTCATTCTTATTTTGAGACGGCTTTGAAGATCAAAAGACATGTTTGCACGAGCCCCAAGTCGGGATTCGCTTGAAGACGGGTAAACTATGATGCGGCACAAACACGTTTCCAGCAGAGAACAAAGGCGTAGATTCGGATTCTGAAGTCACGAGTTTTTTGTAACGAACCGCGCTACGGACTCCTCCTCGCACGGCAATTTGGGGTTAGAAAAGCTCCCACTCAACAAGTTGAACATACTACGATCACGCACAGCATGAAGATTTTGGAAGTCAAGGAGGATGAAATACATCGCTTAGTAAGCTCTCGTCAGCTTGCACTGTCGGCGTGTCGCGAGATTTTACTCAGTCCAGACAACGCAGCCAAGGGCGATACAGTACACGCGCTCGTTTGACTAACCCAAGGTTGCCTTGTGAAGGGGGCTTTTAAATTACTCTGGTCCGCTTGCAAAATTCATCGACGTCGCACCTAGCACAAAAGGGCATATAATAACTCGGTAACTCCTCGTTGACATTTTGACTTCGGTCTTTTCTGCTTGACTTCGGTTTCTGTGGTTCGTATTGGTTCATAACCACTGCAGCTGGCTCGAGGGGCTTGTAATGTAGGTGCAACTGGCTGGTAAAAAAACACGGGTGCAGACTTTCCATCCTGCAAAGGGAGAATTCACGCGCAGGGGTTGAGCGTCATGTGTACATGCATTTCGAGCTTGGGGGCTCTTCATTGCTGTGAACCACTGCTAAGCATTCTGAAAATTGGTACATGAACCCAACACGAACTCCGCTCAGTGGATGAGAGAGCGTGGAAGCAGAAGTCAGGAGATGTGAGCTAGTTCAGGCAATACGGTGGTGTACGATTTTAAGCGTTTCGTACCGTGTTTCCAACGTTCTAAACAGTTAGGGAAGGCACGACTCGTCCTCAGATACGCATTCCACAGAAACGGTTGGGAAAGATTGGTCGAGAGAGGGAGAGAAGAGGAAGTGGAACAGTCTTTCCAGGCATGTCAGGGTCAAAGCCCGCTTTGAAATCCAAGTGTCTGTGGTCGGTACACCCTAGCAGTTCTAGGGATGGTGCGGGAGCTCATGGGTTGTCAATAACTGCAATTCTTAGGGTTCCGTCGCGCTGTTATTTACGGTCCAGGCATTCCATGGCAATTGTAGATGGGATAAATTTGGCTGTGAGCAAGGCGGGGTGAGGCAAGTGTGGGGGGCGGAAAGGGATATTGGCGGGGCCATACGGGGGGTTGAATTAGTGATGGGAGGGGGATGGGGGATGGTTGGGGGGATTGTTGGGGGAAGATATCTTGTTCCGACGCAGAAGGCCGAAAGTGTGAGGAAGGGGGGTTGGTTAGAGGGTCCGAGGCATATGGGGTGGTGGGGGGACTGAGGGGGTGAGGAGGAATTCGTCTGTGGCCATTAGCCAGCTTGTTCGCTCAAGCCGCACATTGGCTTCGAGAATGCGCGACTCGTCGATCATATTTTGTGCCATAGGACTGGCGGCCAACTTCATTGATACTCGAATTATGCCAGAAGCGGCATGCGAACGTAATCAACCGACTATCTCGCAGTATAGTAGCTACAAATACTGTATTTTGTTTATAAGCACAGTTTTGAAACAATGTCGCCACCAGCAGCTCCGCACATACCCAACAAAAAAGGAAATATACTAAAACGCTTGGATAACCAGGACGGAATTTGAAAATATGAACCCTGAATACAGGGATTTGTCAAGTGCTTATGATTATCTGCTTGGACAAACAACACCGCCTAACGGAGCCTGCTATCCGCGGGCAATTAAAAATAACCCTCCTGCTAAAAGGCATCCAGTCAGAATGGCAGTAAACCTAAACACCTTGTCGCATGATGTTTTAGAATTGATGCCATCCGAGGAGGTTTACGAGGTTAGCAGGTCCACATTCGACAGAGGGTTAATGGTGCCATTAACCCTAATCCATTGAGTTATTCTAATTTTGCATCCTTTTTCTCAATGGATTTTTTTTTTACTTTTGCACAATTCGCGTTTGATACAAAATTAACGGTTTTAGTACTCAATGTTTTTTTTTCTATTCGTAAATAGCACCTCGACACAATTGTGTATTTTTAAATTTGATAATTGCATTATGTTTTTGTCACATTTTGGGGATGTTATTATCTTGAAAAGTGTGATTGAAACGCGAGCACCAATCAGCGATGATAAATCAAGGTTGAATACCAATGCAAAATGTCTCTCACATAATTTGAGTATCAATAAAGTTGGTCGATAAGACTTGCTGGCAGGTCAGTGGGACAGATTACTGGGACAAAGATTGCTAGAATTTTGGCCAACATCATACATACTCAGATTATTCCCGAATAATTTCTCATGTATAATCACCAACAGAAACATGATTTTGCGATATATTATTAAGGTATTTGTGAAATAACGAGGAATGAATTGACTAAGGGAAAGTTGGGTACAAAAGCAAACCCTAGAAAACTGTACCCCATATGTGCTACCCCACTATAGCCTACAGTAGCTATGTCATAGAAATCTGACACACCCCCATAGGCAAAGTGGGGGAGAACAAGGGGTCACAAGACCAGTCAAGCAAAGCAAAGCAAGCTCAGGGTGGATCACAAAGTCACCACACATTCCGAGCACAAGTTCAAGGCCACAAGGCCAGTTCACATGCAGGATTGCATATATATATAAGGCTAGACAAGCAAGAGCAGGTGTATATATATATGCAACAGTACAAACAAGGTCAAGGGGTGAGCAAGTGAGGCAAGGTAGGCACAAGACCCAGCTGAGTACAGAAGCGCTGATGATCACAAGGCGGGAGTGCCTTGGTGAAGATATCAGCAGTGTTGGCCTCAGAGGCCACGTACGCAAGCCGCAGCTGACCACGCTGCTGTAGCTCACGAGCAAGGAAGTAGCGGAGAGCAATGTGCTTCGTTCTGTGCTCCAGTCTCTGCTCTCGACACAAGGCCAGCATGGCCTTGTTGTCTACGTACAGCACTGGAGGAGAACGAGGCGGCTCTCCGAGGTCAGTCAGCAGGTAGGTGAGCCAGCGAAGCTCCTGTGCAGCCATGGCACCGGCGTAGATCTCAGCCTCACAACTGGAGCCGAGAACAGAAGACGAGCGGGTAGCCCGCCACGAAACAGAGCCGGAACCAAGGCTGAAGGTGTAACCCTGTGACGACCGCTGCGTAGCCTGGTCTGTTACAATACGATCTGAGCTGGTAACCGGGTTTAACTAAGGGCCAAGGCTTAGAACCCTATGCCAAGCGGGTATCGAGGGAGTTGTGCCAAGGGAGAATCGAGAATGATTGGTTTCACTATAGCACACAAGGTACATATAGCAAAATAGCAACGGTGCACCACCAACAACAAGAAGGCATAACTACACTAAAGCTAAAGCTACAGGCAGTTATAAACATATATAAAATATATATCGCGACATGGTCGTCAGCCCAAGAAGCGTCTGCGTGCCCAGTGAGGACCACTGGACTCTGCCCTCCAAGCACAAGCCCCATGCCCGACGTACTGCACAAGTAGCGCAACACCCTCTTCGCTGCAGCCATGTGCTCCGGTCTGTGTCTCCCAGGAGCAACATAGCGTGCAAGAATGCTAAGAGGGTATGCAAGGTCAGGTCGTGTGCAGGTCATCAGGTACATGAGGCAGCCAACAAGCTCTGGGTACGGGCCACTCGACTCTACGGACTCATCCGAAGGCAGAGCTGAGAGCGAGTGGCGAGTAGGCAGAGGAGTGGCCTGAGGCGAGGAGTACGTGAAGCCGAAGCGCTGAAGGACCTGCTGCACCATGTGTGACTGAGTCAGGGTAATGGTGCGGCGTGCTCTGTCCCGGGTGATCTACAAGCCAAGGTAGCTACGCAGTTCACCCAGGTCTGTGCACGTGTGTCTCTTCTGCAGCTCGGACTTCACGTGGGCGAGTCCAGCAGTGTCAGCTGTGGCGAAGACCAAGTCGTCAACGTACACGAGGATGTAGAACGGCGGCAAAGAAGTGTCGGTGCGCAGAAACAGCGACGGGTCGGCAGTAGAAGGAGCAAACCCAAGAGCCGCAAGCGTAGTCCTCAGTGTGTCGTGCCACTCACGCGGTGCCTGGCGGAGACCGTAGACTGGCCGCCGGAGGCTCCACTGGGTGCCAGGAGGAAAGGACCCAGTGAAGCCAGGTGGGCGACGCAGCCAGATCTCCTCGTGCAGGCTGCCCTGCAAGAAAGCAGTGCTGAAGTCAAGAGAGTGCAGCTCGTAGTCGCGGTGAGCAGCTATGTGCAGCAGTACCCGAAGAGTGGTCATCTTCGGGGTGGGAGAGAAGGTCTGAAAGTAGTCAACTCCCTGTCGCTGACTGAAGCAACGAGCCACGTAACGCGCCTTGAAGACAGGCGGAGAACCCGGCGGCCGCTTCACCCTGAAAATCCACATGCCACTGACGATGTTCGCCCCAGGCGGGGGAACCTCGTCAACGTAGGTGCCTGTGGACTTCCAGGAAGCCATCTCTGCGTCCATAGCTGCCTGCCACTGAGAGGAGT